TCGCGAAACATCGTTATATTGACTTAGAAAATTTATTTTATATACGCTATCTGAAATTATAAACTAGATATATATATGAAAACATAGTCATTTATTATTGTTGAAAGACCAAGAGTCTAACTTGAAATCACAAGATTCAAATAAATTTTTTGTTATTTTCTTACTAATATTTATAATGTTCCATGATTATTTCTAGAAACACCCTAATTAATAATCTTCTACACATGATTAAGTAAATGCTAACACATTATTCACTTTTTGCTATAAAATTGTGTCTGAATTGACATGGCCATTACATGCTTTTGCGTGTATTTTACCATATTATTGTCTGAAAAAAGTACGATTTGAAACATGAAATTTAACATATTTGACCAAGAAATTATCTTTCTGTAATGATGGAATTGTTTTAATTTGTTCATTATTTTGTCGATGAAAATTTGAGGACATTGTAATTTATCATTATGAGTTGGTAAATTTGCTTCAAAGATTTATATAAGTTCAATGTAGTGGCTTATTATCCCCACATAGGAACTTTACGCTTTCCTTACATACTATACATCAAGCTTCTGGAAACAAATTATTCATTTGTTGAACATAACAAAAGAAGAATACAGACTTGTATTCATGTGGACAGATCAAGTTATCTCCATGATCTAGTCAGTTTTTTGTTAATCATCGCTTGTCAATTGTTATGGAAGTGTTGTGGACATGATAAACATTATTACCTTTTAGAGATGAAATGTAACCTTATAAAATGCCATGGCCATTGAGAATATGCATTGCAATTTTTTACCATGGAAAATGTACATGTACTTAGTATGAACAAGCTAAATTTTTAACCCGGGATGAGAAGGATGTGAAGATTATAGTCACTATCATCTCAAATTTAACGAGAAATTCGATTATTGATTCCTGGAAAAAATTCTTCATTCCTTTGGTTGGAAAGATTTAAATGTGTATCCAAGGGGTAAAGAGTTTGATTAACGATAATTTATTATTGCCAGAAAGTATGTTGCAATGGGAATTGGCCAGTTTTTAGGATCAAATTAATCACTTCATGCAAAGCTGTACCGATCATTTGCTAACGATTTTTTCTTCTGAAATTAATTTCATGACAAATATGTGGACGAATAAGCGTTTACTTATCGTAGTTCAATTTGATTTTTAGCTGTTGATAGTTGAAGAAATTGTGCATGTTTTCATAAGATTTCAATTGACTACGTAGATCTGTCGCAGGGTTGAAAGCAAGCAACTTAAATAACTAGAGAACATGGGTCAGACAGTAATAAGATATCATAGTCTGTCGATTTTATGTTGAACATTTTCAATAAACTTTCAAATTGTGATCAAATCGTTGCTTGTTTTTGTTGTAACATTCAACCTCGTTCCTGTGAAATCAACATAACAAAGAAAGATATTACTTATCAAATTAGAATATTTTCAATTCTCATCTGAAAACACAAAGGTTAGACCACACTGGGAATAAGGAATTTTTCCAAGTAATCGTCGAATTTCTCGTTAATTTTGACGTGATAGTGGATTTAATCTTCATTCCCATCTTATGAAGTTTAACAATAACAAACTTATCTTTAATCTAACTTATCTTTTACCTTGATTCATGATTTATTGTTTGTAAAGGGGGTTTTCTTTATAGCTGAACCACTCATGCAATATATTGCGTTTTGTGACCAAACTGAGTGAATTTCAAAGCAAAAAGCACAGTATTGATGCCCTGCTTCAGTACCATTTACGAATATATAGAAGCTCATCTCAGTCAATCAGGTTCTTGTAAAACTTCGAGTTTCAGATTAAGAGCAAAATCTTTCAACGTTACAATTTGACTCAATTTTATGCTTTTAAATAAGGTTCAATCTCAACTTCAACTAATATTTTAACATATGCCTTAAAGAAATAAAGGTAAGGTCCTAGGATTGGTAACACTGGCGTGGCTTCACAAGACTTTTAAATTTTTATCCAATGGAATTAACTCTGAGTTTCCTGGTGAGTTGAAGTTTTATTGGCACTCTTAAATTCATTAATATTAAATTATAGTTGATTATGCTAGTTAGATCGATATAAAAATAGTTAGATCGGCTAAGAAATTAGAGTCAACCATGCTTTACTCACTTGGAAAAATAATGATTAACCCGCCAATATGTCATAGTCTTTTACCAGAAAAACCAGGATATTTTAAAGTAATCAGTCATCACTTTGTCACCTTCATTTGCTTAATCCTCACGCCACCCTTACCCTTTACTTTTGTTAACCGCGTTTTCTTGTTTTATTTTTAATTTAAGACTGTCCATGATCAATTATTATTAAATATTAATGAATTTAAGAGTGTCAATAAAACTTCAACTCACCAGGAAACTCAGAGTTAATTCCATTGGATAAAAATTTAAAAGTCTTGTGAAGCCACGCCAGTGTTACTAATCCTAGGACCTTACCGAAATAAATTTCACAAGATTATTAATGCAACAATTTTTGCCACTGTAAAAGTAACTGACTAACTAAAGAAGCAACAATTGGCTGATAATAGAATTTAACCTGTGAAAAGGAATGTTACGAATATTTTGAGTGCGAATCTCTAAAAAACTTCATGGTTAGAAGGCTGAAACTCTCAGGGAATGAAGATACAGTAGGTCTCAAAAATAACCAACCAGGGTTAACTTTTTAATGGAAGATGATAATTGAAAATTTTTTGGGAAATTATTAGTAAATTATCAGTTGAGTTCGCAGCAATAAAAAAAAATTTTCTAATCAGTTGATTAGTCAATTTTTTACGACAGTTTCGTCTTAAAAATAAGCATCGAAAAACGCTAAAAGAAACTTTGCAACATTTTTTGAATATGATCCCGAATTTAATTAAGCAAAGTACCCAAGGTATTGAATTTTTTGATGATAAGGTCGAAGCTTGAGTGAAAATATACCTAAATATTAAGAAATTGATCGATAAAAAGCCAACTTAATGACCTGAGGTCACAAAAAGCGCAAAATACGCTGAAAAATAGTGGATTTCACTTCGTCGAAAATTAATCACTCAATTATGATAAATGATGATAATACCTTATTCCGATAGTTCTATTTAGTTCAATTTTCAGTTAAAAGTCTAAATACTAAGACCACTGAAGGAGGCGGTTGTTCAAATTATCTGTTGAAAGTGGAATCAAATGGAGAGAAAAGTAAAGAATTCAGTTCGACTGCGGTAACGAAAGGAACAAGTGGATCAGGTACTTGGAATAATTGTGTTATTCTAGGTTCATCAGTTTCAACATCAACTGCAGCTGTGGCTTCCTCCAGCACTAGAATGTAAGTTTTGCGTGAAAGAGTCCTAGTCAAGCACACTAATTGGTTTTGACCAATAATTAAATTCTCATCACCCTCAGAAATTTCATAACCAAGTCCAATCTAGATCAGTTAACTAACTCAAGTTAATTCATCTGAAAAATGCAGTTGAACAAGGGTAGCAATTGGTATGTATCACCACAAATTGACCTTTGTCAATTTGACAATAAACTTAATTGTACCGCTATTGAGTGTTCATTTTTATGTGAAAACACCAGATGGAATTGCATTCTGTTTGTAATTTTTTCTGCTTCGACATCTGTCGGGCAAAACTGTAATAAGTTTGCATTGTGCTGCGCTGTGGTGTCCGCCTCACGTGAGCTCTTTTGTCAATTTGAAATTAACATATTTTCGTAAAGAAGACATAAAAGTTCTGTAAGGTTTCGCATTCGGTCATAATCTTGCTCTCAAGTTAAAACATTTTAATTATCTCTCGGTTCCCGTTTCAAAATCTAAAATTTTCCCTTCAAAAAGGAGAAAAGAACATACAGTACACGCCAAAAGTTTAGGAATCGCGATTTTATTTGGTTAACTCAGTCGTTTCACTTGCAAAATTTACCAAAATTGGCACAAATATTCCAAATATGTTTATGAACAATAGTCTGATGAATTTTCATCAAAAATAAAATTGAAACTTTCTTTTTCTCTATTTATTGTAAACTCGTTAAAATAAATGCGACAAAAGTTTAGGAATTCTCGATTTTTTTCGATGAACCAATCTAGATAATCTTATGAATTTTTATCAAATTTTTATTTACTTGACTATATATTCGCTTGACAGTCAATAGCTCTCATTTTACCATTTTTATTGCGAATTCCGTTATTTGATTTTGAAGAATTCACAATGATTGTCACTGTTTCTCCGTTCTTGAAGCTATGTGAAAAGATCTTTTAACATCAGGATGTCATCACGTGATCCTTTCTGATCGATTAAGCATATTCCTTTTGTCATTTGGCTCATTTGCGTGTTTTCGTTCTGAATCCCATTGTTTCCTATGGAAGAATTCCCTTACTTTGAACGCTGATATCTCGAGAACCGTTTATCTGAGCACTTTCAGCATAAGACCATCGGAAATTAGATCTTTGGAACTTTGATATGGCCTGATAAAAAATTAGAAAAAATCACGCACAAAAAAATGTGACACTTTTTCAACTTTGATGATTTACCGAAAAACACCCTGTATTCGAAAAATTTCCAAAGTAGCGCCATACAAAACTTTCACATTTTTTCTATCGAATGGCTTATAGCATAGCTCTCTAGTATTTATAGTTGCTGAGTTATAAACGCGCCAATGTAGGGATAGTTCATCCGAACACCTAGTATAAAGATGTGAAATTGCTTACTTAATTAAGAAACGGAAAGAAGATTCAAGTTGAGGAATCAAATGTTGAAATTTTTTCTTTAATCAACATGTTAGAAGAGATGACTCTGACTTTACCTTCCGAAAATCATTCATTGTCAAGGAACATAAAAATTCAAAAATTTAAAGAAAGTTTGATTAACTCGAATTCCGAATTAAAATTAATTCCGAATCTATTTAGCGATAAACGCAATTCACTTCATTTTTTCTTCTTCATATATTATAGCCGTTATGTCGCTTAACTTTTAACGGATGAGATGGGTGAGATGAGAAAGAAAGATAGTAATGTAGAAATGAAGATGGAGAGATGCAATTATTTATTCAAAGAGAAACAATTTTTTATCAGATTTAGTAACTTATGTTACTCATAATTTCGATTCAGAATTGATTTCGATCAAACATAGTACCGCTCCAGTCCCATTTGTCTCTCCAACAACCTTTTGGAGCCAGTTCTCGCATCTTTTCATTGAATAAACTAACATCGGTGAATAGATCTGGCGTTCCAGTAGAGAAACAACGAGAAGTAATTGAAGTAAGGTAAAATCTTTCATTCATTTCATATCGCATGAATGGTCCTTCAGCGCATCGATCTCCTTTAGTAGGATTCAAAATACATACATGTGTTTGGGTAGCAGGAGAAGGACACTTGGAAGCTAGATTAAATTGAAATCATCGAAAATCATCAAAAATAAAATTTTGTTTTTAATCAACTTACTTGGGTAATATTCACGTCGGTACTCTTCAAAACTTTTACCAGCTTTTTGACTTATAAGGGTGGTCCCAGGCCAAAGCATTTCGGCTGGATCTAGCAAACAAATGGGTTGGAATTGCGAGCCGACTGGGGAAATACAGCAAAATCATAGGCACCAGTCTCGTTGTTATAACGCTCATCAACCCAAATGGATGCGATTGATTTTGTTGAGTTATCGTTCAAACGAGCTCCGAGTGATGATGCATCTGAACCGGAAAGGCAATGAGCAGCAATAACAGCATGTTGATCATCAATCAATGCAGCACCACAAGATTTTAAATTTTTATTTCTTAATTGGACGTAAAGAATCATGATAAAATTAGGTTAAAAAAGGGAAAATAAATAAATTATAAATTGTCATACTTACTCAATAACCACATACCAAGGGAATCGACTCAACAAGCCTTTTGATCTTCCCATCATTGTGTAATCAGGCCGACCACAGTCTAGACAAAATCATGAGTTAATTTTCAATGTTATCAGTAGCTTAATTGTTTCACTGACTTACCACATGCGAAGGACTGATTGATTAAAAGGGCGAAGATGGAAGCAAACAAAGTTAAATTCATTGTAACAGTTGAGTGATTAGGATTTTTATTGATACTTTAAATGAAACTGTTGATGATTCTTTAGCTTTTGCTTGAGTGATTAAAATTCGGTAGTAGCTGATTCTTTTATAGCTAAAATCAATCGAAAACAGATGATTCTTAATTAGTGTCCATGTGTTTGCTATGGAAAAAAACAATGTAAGGGATTTCCCTTTATTCTTAATTTCAATTAAGATTGACAAAGGACTATGGTCGGAAAATCACGATTTTGAGTTAAGCTCTCAGACTTCGTATCTCGATAGGGGCTAAAGTGAAGATACTTTTTATGAATGAATTTTTTCTCTGTGATCAACAGTTTTTGAGAAAATCAAGGTCAAAGTTAACAATTCAAACGCGTTTTTCTCAGCTTGTGTTACTATCTATGCTTTGATTTTTCATATTTAATCTTACCTTCAATAATACTATCGAAAAATATTAAAATAAATCACCTAACTTTATCAGAACATGGTAAACCAGAACGAAGGGCTATTCATACGAAACAGGTGTGCACAAAACTGATAAGGCTGTGTGGGCTGATTCTCCGTATTTAAGCTTTATATCAAAATTGTAGTTCGGCTAATCGAAGGTTTTTTTGATTTTATCAACAGTTATCTCAGAACAGAGGTCATTGTTATGAAATCTAAGTATCAATAACTCATGGCCTACATTACTTAGAGGTACCATTATTGAAGTATAACATATGATTAAGGTTCATGTCAATGCCGAAAAATTCTCAAGGTCATTAAAGGTCATTTAGAAAAAATTGATTTAATATGTATACTTATACACTTTATATTATTATTAATGTCATATGTACGATTATTTTAGCACCAATGTATATAGCATCCTTTTAAAAGCACAAAAACTGTGTTTTTTCGGAGTCCTCGTTGAGTACGCTAAAGAGTCCTCGTTGAGTCCTCTCTATGCGCTACACCAATGCGCACATCATATATTTATGTCAGTTGTACAAAAGTCACCATTCAGTTAACATCTATAAGTCCTTATTATTCGTTTATCATCGTTTCATAGTTTGCTTCTCATTGTGTTTAATACGGTAAGTTTTGTGTATAGTTTCAATCAGCAATTTTCAACCATCGGATTATTCTGTGTTTTATAGTGTTGCCAGTGGAATATTTTCATCTCATTTCATTTCATAAACCAATAGGAAATAAATAATTAAGGTAAACACCTAAGGTAAGCATTTTCGTTTATTCCACTACCCATTGCCCTTTTTTCGAACTCCCCCGTCTTTCTTGCATACCGAATACGAAGAGATCAAGTGCATGACCGTGTACCCCAGGCTCGCCAGAGTTCTCTGGTAAGTAGGGCGTGACGTACCCGAGGGTGTCACATAACAAGCCTGAAGATGAAGTTATTCAACCCACAAGAAGACAATTGTTGACTTGGTTTCGTAAGGTTCATTCTTTTTATTTTGCTATCATTTCATATCAGATGTCAGAAAATTGCCATGTCTGTGGACGAGCTTTGACAAAAAGAGGCAGAAAAAAATGCCAGAAAGAGCTGTTGCTGCTTTATATGACTGAAATGCAGAAAAACACATATCATCCTGATTCTTGTTCAGTTTGCCGAAGCTGTGCTGTTGCTTATGAGGCATGGAAAAGAAATAGATCTTCAGAATCAAACCAATACCGCGAACGAGACCAAGAAATAGCATCAAGTTCAGCTTCTGAATCTTCTGGCACTACACCTTCAGTCTCTTCTGCGAGTTTATCAGAATCTTTACCATCTAGTGCAGGATCATCTTCAGCTGGGCCATCACGAAAACGTCGTTATAGATCCGACCTGCATGTCAATATGTCAACTGGTTGAAAAGTTATCAGGTACCGACCAAAAAGAGGCCACTGTTAGAAACAGACGAAATAAATGTCATATCGTGAAAAGCCGTTGTACATTTTTTGTTTATGCTAAAAGAATAATTTTGATCCAATCGAAATCAATTTTGAACATGATCTGGTCATCTGACATTCATTCGAAGTTAAACTACTTAATAGCGATAAAACGTGATAAAGGCATTGTAGAAGTTTTTCCTTCTGTAGATCGCTAGAGTACATTGATGTGTATATGTATATTAAGTTTCAGCACTCTAGCTTGATTAGTTTACGAAAAATCGCCCAAAATTGTTTCAACTTTGAAGCGCGATTGTGGCCGAACGCGTCATCCTAAAAGACTTTTAACAAAAGTTAACAGTGTTTTTTCAACCCCCCTATCATAATATCAAATTAATTTCAAAATCAAATAAGGTCGATTTTTGGTGGCAGATACCCCTTTTCAAAAACAGATTTTCATTTAGTTTTGTGTTGGACAAGGTTAATGAAGCTTTGGCTTTAGCGAAGTTGGCGATTGTTTCAATGATTATCAGCTGGTAATGCACTTACTTCATAAAAACAATTTACGGTGATTCCAATGTAAGTATTTGATTCGTATTTTATAAAAATAGTCAATTAGTAATTTCCTTAAGAGAGAGAGAGAGTAAAAAACGTTTCCTTAAGAGCATAGTAGAGTGTAGTTGAACGATTCAATCATCGGAAAGTTTTGAGATCACCAGATCGAGCTTAACTAGAATTGTGCACTTTATGCTTGTTTCTGACCAAAACGAAATATGGAAAGCATAGATCAAAGCCAGTTTTACCAAAAGGCATAAAGATGCAAGATTGGCCTTTGCAACTGAAATGATTTAATGAATAAAGAATGAAGGGAATTCCTTTACATTGTTTTCATAGTGAACACATAGACACTAATTAAGAATCATCTACTGGACACGAATCTTATCCAATATCGATCTATCAAAGTTAAGCTAAGTTAAGTCAATCTACCTAGCAGTTATGATATGCAATCCAAGAGTTCTGAAGGAAATTGCTCTCGCCATTCAATTGAAGCAATTAAGAAATACTATTCTGTAGTTCAGCTACTATCGAGTTTAATTTTGAACCGAGTGCGAAACTTGGCAATTTCTTTCTTTTTTATTCTAGTATTTTCTTTCAATATCCTTTACAGCATTGATAACTTCATTTTTATGGTAGCCTTTAAGTTCAGTCTGTTTGTTAGTTTTGTTCAACTTTATTTTTGCAACTCTAGCTTACAATTAACATGTTAGACTAGAGTTAGTTAGTTGATCTTGTTGGCACTTACCTGATTTACGTATGATTGTCATATTTCACAGCTTTGAAATGGCTCAAATGCTTAGAAACAATTACTTGAAGTGAATCATTAATGATTTGATTGACAAATTCAGTTGTATTAGAATCTCTTTCTTTTATTATCACCTTTCAGAATTCATGAGTCATGACAAATGATTTTCGATTAAGTACTCGAAACATCGACCGGCCTAAAAAGTACAAAATAACTCCAAAATTGATAGATTTTGATGATTTTGGTCTTCACTCGATCATTTAATTTAACAGTTGCACGGGAAACAAAACTTTAGACATATGAACAAGATTCGATGTAGCTGAAAAAATACATCAATCGATGCAACTCTTCAAGGCCTTTCAGTTGAAGTAAAATCTAAAAAGTTCGGATGCGTCGTTTGAAAGGTATTCAATTTTGTTCTCGATGTTTTAATTTTTTACCATCCAAAGATCCAGTTGTAAAATTGTCGAGTCAAATGATTTTCCAAACTTTATATACACCCTTTACCTAAAATTGTCTTTCGATGCGATTACCATCTTTTAAAATTAGGAAGGATACTGTTTTAAATGGTTTATAAAAGAGCTTACAATTGTCTTCGCTAAACAATAGTTAATAAGCTGGTAAAGATGAAAATGTCCAATAATGATTCATAATTCTGCCATGATCGACCATTCAAGCCATTTGATATTTAAATCTTAACACAAGGAGAAATAATCCATTTTCTGAATGATTAAGAAAGTGCTAGAAGAGTTTGATGTTTTGTGAATAAAAGCAAAGAGACAAAATTTTATGAAAATAACAAAATGAAAAGGTCAGAGACAGAAGTTAGCGTCGATATGAGAAAAACTGTATCAATAGTGTTTCGTTGTCTAACCAAAATCAATTGATAAAATATAAACAAAAGAACAATCTAAGGCGTTTATTGCGATTTTAGGATTGCATGTTAGTTAATGAATCTAAAAGATGATCTCAATTAACATTGGCATCATTTTCAAACTTACAATAACATAAGTAAATTGAATTTGTTACAGTTGATTGTGTTTGTTAATGAAGTTTCAACATGTTATTTTCACTGCTGAACGAAAGAAACAAAATGCTGTTTATATTATCAAATGTAGTCATTTTACTTTCAACAATTAAAACAGGTAAGACTAAGATATCCATTGATTAACCGAAAATATAAACTCAATCCATTTCTACTTCAACTCATAACAAACATAGAAAGTGCTACAGATTTGGTGGTTTTACCGTTAAGCATACCTAGCAAAAGCGCTAACATTCACGCTACTTTAAGTGATTCCGTAAGTTGACCAACCAAACAATTGTTACAATTTTTAATTCTTAATTCTATGCGTATTAGAATGGAGCCAACAAGTATTTCATCCAAGAATCAATATCCGCTTCTGATACAAACATCAAAGGCAAAATCGTGATCTCAGGTGAAAAGGATTCATACAACGTCTATTATAATACTGATTCTGATTTCAACAAGGACCGCTTGGTTATTCATGGTAAGAGTTTAAGAATTGATGAATTGGAGAAATAATAAATGATTTTCTGTCACAAGTTTGGATCTATGAGAAAATTGTTTTTTGACCACAATTTGTCGATAAATAAGATTATTTCACTCATGACATTCACTAAGAAGTTATTTTATTACTAAGAAGTATAATACTAACAATTTTACTTTTTTCGTGATCTAAAGGTACGAATTGTTTAGCATTCGCTTTCAAGAATAATTGGGATGAAACTCTACCAGGAATCAAGAAACCTGTGACTAATCTGGTACTCTTAATGGGACCTTCAATTTTGTATCGATTTGATCATTCCTCACTTGTTTGGGTAAGTATTTCAACAACATTATGAGAATGTTTAATCAAATTCATTTGTTGAACGACAGAAATCAGTTGCACATAAAAACATAAGAGGAACCATGATGAAAGGGGCGACAACTGACATAAATGGAAGATTGAAAATCACTTATTATTACAAAAGTGAGTAGAAACTAATTGATAAGATGAACCAAGTTCAACTACTCTCATCCTTTTTATTTGCAAAAACTAGAGCATTATGCAGACGATTCCGGAATTAAACACCCAAGTCGAATTGAGTTCAGTGGTTATGATCCATATTCAACTTCATACAGTAACAACGAGAATCTTATTCTTGACATTTACCTTCAAAATGAGAACGATTATGATGAACTTGCGAATGAAGTCCAAGTAAGTAAACTTCGTCAAAACCCTTAAAAAGATGAAAGTGGATATTATTCAAAAATAAATAACTGCATCTCTCAATCAGAATTGAAATTTGACTTTTTCTTGAAGTAAAGTAAAACGCCATTTCAAATATTGAAGAGTTGAAAGATTTTCTCATTTACACATTTGACTCTTAACCTCAGCCTTTACCTGGAATTGGGTGTCCGTATTACTTGTCCACAGATGGGCCTTCATTCCCTCAAATGAAAACTGATTATGTACATTACACTATGTACGAGTACATTCAAGGTTCAACTACTACTCAAACATTCAGTGAGGTTAGTTTATTCAGTCAACTATTTCCAATGTTACTTTCATTTTCATTTCAATTTCAGATTCATGCATCACGAAAGTTCTACTTATTGCGACTAAAAGCAACTCTTCTTGGTGTAACAACTGAAGCTATTTATGATTACAACCTTGGCGTCTCTTACCTCTTTGAAGAGTATGGAGGATGCAGAACATTACCTTTAGATTTAAATGCACCTGGAATCAGTTATTACACTAACTTCAATCTGCTAACTCTTCTCCTCATTGATTCTCCTTACAAATATCTCGGAAAGCTAAACTTGGTAAGTAATCAACAATAATTTACCATCAATAATAATCAGCAGTAATTTTATGGATGGAATTCAATTGACATTGATTTCATTATTCAATACATATTTCAGGGGAGTTTAATCATTTAATAATCTTCATATAATGAATCTAATAATCGCTGAATTGGGGAGTGAAAGATGAGAATGATAGCCTAACCTCTATTATGCACAAAGATACATTCACTGAACCAGTAGCTGCAGTAGCGAATATCAATAGGAATTTTATTTTTATCAATTTCGATACAAAAAAATGAACAGCTTTCAATCCAGTTGCTAAGTGATAAGGAATTTTCATCTCATTTACAGTAATCAGTGATTGCTAATCACTTTCTAGTTTCGTCTATTTTCAAGCGATCTCTTGTTTTTCAGATACTTTTAATAGTTTTTCAAATCCTTTTTCATGATTATGAAAATTTTTGATTGACTTTTGCTTGATGAGTTCAGACTTTACTAGTTGAAATGGCCTTTTGCTGTTAAATCATCATAAATTTACCTTTGAATAAGAAATCTAAGCATCTAAATCATCAGAATCAATCAAATAACATTAAAAACATTAAGAAACAATCATAAAGCCTTTTCTAAAGTTAATATTGATTGCGTTAATTAAATTTTTAATTATGAAAAGAAGGGAGAGAAAAAGAGAGTAAAAAATTTGTAAAGAAAGTAAAAAGAAAGTGTCTTTGTCACGCCATCTTCTGTCACCAGAAAAATTTTTCGTTGAGTGTATTGAATTGCTGTAGCTTCTTCCTTTACTCTTTGCCAAAGAGTCTTTGGCTGTCTGTCAGTTGTTTGAAGCAAAATCGAGGGTTAACTGTAAGATGTATTGGTCAATCAATAAAAATTAAACTAAAATTAATACGTTAACTAGTCTGATGCTGAATAATCACCAAACAATTAATGTTTAAATTTGATTTTCCTAAGTAACAACAAAATTTTAGAAGATAGTTTGATAATTGTAACGATCAAGATTAAATGTAAAGTTGACAATAACAAAGAGTAAGGTAATTTACTCTTTGGACAATAACAATTCTGAAATAATTTTTTGAAATTTTCTCAGGAACATCGATCTGGATTTCCAGTAGACGCATGGGAAACAATCAGATATGATATTAATATCAATGGGAGAAAGGCCGATAAAGCTGTCATCACTCAATATTTTGCTGAATCGGTAAGTTTGTCACTATTTTAATAACGTTAAACTATTTTAACTGTAACTACTAGTAATATTGCAACAGCAAATAAATGCAATTACAAAATAATAAAGTGAAACAGATGTAAATGTAGTGAAAATAGTGAAAATAAGGTTATTATCACTAAAACAGATGTTTTTCTTGTGTAACTCAATTTTTTATATTTCTCACTCAATTTGTGCTAAAATATTCAATCAAAATGGCTTTTAGCATGACAGCGAAATATTTGTTGGTTATACACTCGTCAGTACCACAATTGCCATCTATCAATTGGATCCATCGGTAAGTATTCATTTTAATGATTATGATTTGCAAAAGATTAATGTTTCTTTACATATTTTTGTCTTTTTCTAGAAAAAGACTTACACATTGACGGATGGAATTACAAGAGATTTCATCAACTTTGAACAGGCTGGATCTGAAGATGAACTTCATGATATTTTTTCATTAAAAGATTGTAAATACTTGACCAGTGATAAAACATTGACCCTCGCCTTCAAATTACAACGTGAAGGTATGTTATAGTCAATATTTACCGTTTGGCAAAACTGAGCTGCAATCTTGGGTTGTTTCAATGCAGTCGACGAAGACAACATTTTTCTTAGAGATTCAGATTTCTAGCTATTTTCTAGTGTTAGCAGATTTGAGTATTTAATTTGGCTTATTCTCTGAAGATGAAAAACTAGTGCTGATTTTTTTGAATAATTGTAAATATGATTTATTAGCAACCTTCCAAAATTTGCCATTGACTGTAATGAAAGTCAAATAATAAAATCATTTAAATACAATGTAAAATGGATGCAAGATGGAAGGCTATTTAAGGCCTATTGCTAATTGATCTTAAGTAATTATAACTGATAATTTTCTTTTCCACTTTCAGGTGACAATCGTTCTTCACAAAAACTAACGACAAGTCAACTTTACGCGTTGAAACAAAGGTTCATGTCTTCCATTATTTCATCCGAAAATATCAGCCCACTTCGAGTGGATAATCTTCAATATAATTTCAATGACGCACAACTTGAAATAGAAGTGACAATCCTGGATTCACCTAATTTGCAATGTAATTTAAATTTGACATTTGACATTAATACATTTTAATTCAATTGTTGAAATTTTTTTCAGATATTTTCAACTCTCTAACTATGTCTGTTAGTGCAGATACATTTAAAAAGATGAAAAAGGTCCAAGCAAGCACTGAATTTGAATGTCTGGACAAATTATCAAAATCTCAAGATACAATCACGTATATATCTCTGAACCTGGTTATTTTGATTCAAATGGAAACTAATAATTTTGCTTTTCTTTTCTTATTCAGTGTAGTAATTTATAGACCATCAGATTTTTCTTGTGGATATTTGACAAATTTTGATGATCTCAAGGAAGATGCAGAAATAGGAGAACCATGCAGCATCTATCACTTTCCTTTACATAATTTGCATCGCATTGATCAAGAAATACCACTCGATCAAATTCAAAATACTTTTTTGAAAAACGTAGGAAAACTTTACCCTATGAATAGTGAATATAATGGTAAGTGCTTCTCCGCCTTTAGCTATAATGAGCCTACCGGTGAGATAATTCCACTTTTGAGCGCTTATAGCTTTTGAATCCTTCACAAAATTTTAATCAAGTACCATGCAGCAATATCAATTGTTTTTTAAACAAAACACAAAATTCTCTGATCGTGGAATCCATTATCTCCATTATATCCATTATCCATTCCAACCATTATCTTAAGACTATCATAATTTCACGAGTTAACTAAACAAAATGTTCAAATTTTCCAATTAAATGGTATCAATTTTAAATGTGAGATTCAAAAGTGTGAATAAGCACTCGTGACCACGAAACTAGTTATCAAAATTTGTTTTGTATTTTTTTCAAGCTCAATCTTATAGATTAATTGATGTTATCGATAAAACGAAAAACCACGGAACCTCGGCTGATGACTTACAATCCAAAATAAGATCTGATGCAAAATTAAATGGAAATGATCAAGCTACTGTGACTGTACCAGATGTAAAAACTTTAGCTGGTTGTTATCGAACCTGTCATAATTCAGAGCAACTTAAATGCAATACCTTCTCATTCTGTTCAAATGGTGACTGTAGAGTCAGCAGCTTATTAACTGAAGACTCTTTTAATGAATCGCACGTTGAACAAGACAAAACATGTTCTATTTACGCTTTAAATGTTATCAATGATTACTTAAAAGTACCTCAAAGGAAATTGAAAACACAGACTTCAATCGCAGTCGACAAAAGTATTTACTCTTGTGCAGAATCTTGTCATGCTTCACCTGATTGTTTTTCATTCCAATATTGCAATTATCATTGCAGTTTTGGTGGTGTTTATTCAGATGCAGCTACTGAATATGATGGAGAGTGTAGCGTATTTCTTCGTAAGTATTCTTGAGCATTGTTGGCGAGTTTCTGTATTGTCTAATTATTGTTTATTTATTTCTTTTTCATTACATTTTGTAATTTACTTAGCCAAAGTATCTGAAAAGTACCAAAAGACTGGCAACAAAATCGTATCAGATGTGCTTTACACTGAAATTAATTTAAATTTTGAACAATGTGCATCATTATGCCATGGATGGTCCGATGGTGACACTGAGTGTAAATCATTTAATTATTGTCCTAAAAGTAAAACAGAAAGTTCTTGTTCATTAACTCAATTTTCAGTTAAAAGTTCAAATACAAAGACAACTGAAGGAAGTGATTGTTCAAATTACGAGTTGAAAGTGGAATCAAATGGAAAGAAAAAAAAAGAATCAAGCTCAACAGCTCAAGGGACCAGTGGATCAGGTGCCTTCGGAATAATTATGCTGTTCTTGTTTGTCGGTGCTTTATTGGGATTCGCTGCACCATTTGGTTATACAAAAGTTAAAAAAATACGTAATGTTTCAGAAGCTGAGGAAAATTTCACTTGGACAAAACAAGTAGACGAACATGCTGAGAATATCAATTGAATCTCAAGATCTCAGGACATGAAATTGTTAATCAATCGCTGCAAATCTTCGTACATCTTGTTATAATAACGAAAAAAAATTATCATGTTCACAAAATGCAACAAAAGCAAGAGAATTCGATTAAGTCGTTTTAAAAAACTTGCGAGCCACTCTGATAATTTGCCAAAACATGGTGATAAAATCAATTCATTAGAGTTGCAATAAGCTCTCGTGATGTTTTTTTCAATTAGTAATTTTCCCAAAAATTATTTGTGTTAAAATACATTTTTGTATTTTTAAAGCAAATCTTTATTTTGATTCTCGGATGGTATTCCGTTGCGCACCAATCACCATAATCTCATCATAACCCAGTTAGTCCATAATTGTATTCAGACGATGAGCAAGTCTTACAATTGTTCGAGAGCGATTCCCTTCATTTTCTTTCTTGAGTTGTATATTATAGCCATTACATTGCTTCCATTCCGATGCTAATTCGGGGTTGGACGAGATCAAAATAAAAGATAGTAGTACAGAAATAAGATAGAGATATGCAATCATTTATTCAGAAATTAACACTTTTTTCAGATTAAGTAACGTACATGTATATTACTCATGATTTCGCTGTACTCATACTAAAGTTATTATATTATTGTTTAAATTGAATTTTTTTGAATAAATGGTTTGTATTATGCTTTCAGGAAATTAAGTTGTTTTTCCAATTAACAAAGGTCAGTTTTTCGTGATATCCTTTGCAGTATTGATAACTGCATTGTTATGGTCGCCTTTGAGTGCAGTCTGATTGATAGTTTTGTTCAACTTGCACAGCTTTCAAATGGCTCAAATGTTTGGGAACAATTATTGAAAGTGAATTAATAATGATTTGATTGACAAATTCAGTTGTATTAGAATCTCTTTCTTTTACCTTTATTTTCACCTTCCAGAAGTCATGGTCATGACAAATGACTTGCAAGTATTTAAGTACCAGAGAACTCAATTTGAGTACTCGAGAGAAATCGACATCAATCAAAAACTGGGGAGTGAAAAATGAAAATGATAAGCTAACCGCCATTGTGCTCAAAGATATATTCACTGAACCAGTAGCTGCAAAATTGAATATCGCTGCCACTTTCTGAAACCCATTATCACTAGATGGAGACTGAGAAACAGGCTTTAACCGGGTACTCGACAGTACACTGTGATGTACCATTAGGGACACTGGTTAGTTCTGGTTTAAGCATAACAATTACCAAAAGGTCAGTGTTTTTTTTAGCAAATTTAAGTTGCTTAGTTATTAAATGTTATTGTACTAACAAAACGGTCGTAAGTACAAACCAAATCACTCAGTTAGTTTCAATTTAATTTAAAAAATAAAAATTTATTATCACAGAACTTGTTGCACGGCATTGAGCAAAGTCAACAATTTAAGTTAATTTAGAGCTATTAATAATAAGTGCTAGAACCATTTTTTGCCCTTACCTCAACTAAACGATTCTTCATTGTATAATAAGTTAAATAATTAAGACAAAATAAAGAACTTGATGAGAATTTTCATTGCGAATGTATACGAATACTTTCCCTAAGACATCGAAAGTTCCGTAAGATTGTACCCTCGCTCACAGACTCAAGCTAAAGTGTTTTTTCAATGAACTCTCGCAAACGAAACCCGATAGAAGCTGAGCTTTATTAGAAAAATATTTCGCAATTATATGGGAAACGCAATCACCTTCATTTTTCCTTCTTGAGTCTTAAATTATAGCCATTAGATTGCTTAACTTTGAACGATCAACATTGAATGAGATCAGAAGAAAAGATAATAATGTAGAAATGAAGTTAGAGATATGTAATTATTTATTCAAAGAGAAACAATTTTTTATCAGATTTAGTAACTTATGTTACTCATAATTTCGATTTCGATTAAACATATTATCGGCTGTAGTCATATGTGTCTTTCCAGCAACCTTTTGGAGCCAATTCTCGCATCTTTTTAATGTAATGCTTAGCATCAGTGAATAGATCTGGCTTTCCAGAAGAGAAACAACGAGAAGTAACTCCAGCAAGGTAAAATCTTGTATTTACTTCACCTCGCATGTATGGTCCTTCAGCACATGTATTATCTACTTTGCCAGGATTCACAATACATAAATGAGTTCGGGTAGCAGGAGAAGGACACCTGTAACCTAGATTGAAAAAAATTCATGAAGAATAGTTAAAAATGAAGCAACAGAAATTTATTGTTAATCAACTTACCTGGAATGTTATCAGGATAGTTATAAGGGTAATCTTCAACATTTTTACCAGCTTTAGGACTTATAAGGTGAGTTGCAGGCATTGGCATGTAAGGTGAATCTCGTAAACAAATGGGTGTGAATTGAGAGCCAACTGGAGAAGCCAAAGTCAATACAGCAAAATCAAAAGCACCAGTGTTTTTGTTATATAGATTATCAATCCAAATGGATGAGACTGATTTTGTTGAGTTATCGTTTAGCCGAGCTTTGAGGGTTGCTGCCTTTGAACCATAAACGCAATGAGCAGCAATAGCGACATGTTGATCATCAATCAATGCAGCACCGCAAGATTTCAAATTTTCATTTCTTAATTGAACGTAAAGAATCATGATAGAATTAGGTTAAAAAAGGGAAAATGAATAAAATATAAATTGTCATACTTACTCAATAACCACATACCAAGGGAATCGACTCAACAAGCCCGTTGATTTTTCCAGCACAGTGTAATCAATTGCCTTACCACAGTCTAAACAAAATTATGTGTTAATTTTCAATGTTATCAATAGCTTAATTGTTTGACTGACTTACCACAAGCGAAGGACTGATTGATCAAAAGGACGAAGATGGAAGCAAACAAAGTTAAACTCATTGTAACAGTTGAGTTAATATTAACAGGATTTTTATTGATACTTTAAATTGAACTGTTGATGATTCTTTAGCTTTTGTTAGAGTGATTAAAATTCGGTAGTAGCTGATTCTTTTATACTAAAATCAATCGGAAACAGATGATTCTTAATTAGTGTCCATGTGTTTGCTATGGAAAAAAACAATGTAAGGGAATTCCCTTTATTCTTAATTTCAATTAAGATTGACAAATTTTGCTAAACATTATATTACAAATTGAAAATGGACTCAATCAAATGCTATCAAAAGAAATGTAACAAATCAAATTCAGATGAATTTTTTCTCCATTCAACTGTCAATCTCATCATTATCTGCAAATTTAACAAAACAATGAAATTTTTAAAAACAAATTTTCATTTAGTTTCGCTGAAAAAACGATTTTCTTTTGCAATGTAGATTTGTTCGAAATTGCTCTTGCCATTCAATACCAATTTGTTAGAAGCTAATATCAATAATATCATTCTAATAAAGTTGAGCTTCTATCGAGTTTCGTTTGCGAGATTCAGTTGGAAAAACGTTTCAACTTTAGAGCCCAATTGTGAACCAAACCTAACGGAAATTTTGATGTCTTCTTTCAGAAAATTAAGTTTATTGTCAAATCGGTGAAGGTCAGTTTTCGTGTATATCCTTTGCAGTAATGATAACTTCATTGTTATGGTAGCCTTTAAGTTCAATCTGTTTGTTAGTTATGTTCAACTTTATTTTTTCGAAGAAAGTTTGGAATTAACTAGAGTTAGTTAATTGTCCTTGTTTAACTTATCCGATTTACTTATGATTGTCATAATGCAAAGCCTTCAAATGGCTCAACTGTTTAAGAACAATTACTGGAAGTGAATGAATAATGATTTGATTGACAAATTCATTTGTAATAGAATCTCTTTCTTTTATTTTCACTTTTCAGAAGTCATGAGTCACAATAAATGATTTGCGCAGACTTAAGTACGCGAGAACGTGATTTAAGTGCTCGAGAAAAATCGATTGATCTGAAATGTACAAAAATAAGTCGAAAATTGATAGCGCATCTTAATTTAGTGCGCCAGCAGAAGGATTTTTCCGAACCTTCTGTACATCTTTATCCTTAAACTGTCCCAGTCCCATCTTTTAAAAATCTAGCCATTACAGATCATTGAAAATGGCACGAATTTTCTTCCACCGCACAAGCAAGGGACAGCTTTAGGTAGGCGACTGTTTCAAAGGGTGTTGTGTGAAAGAACTTACAATTGTCTTCGCTCACCAATAGTTAATAAGTTGGTAAAGATGAAAATGTCCAATAATAATTCACGATTCAACCATAATTGACCATGCAAGCCATTTGACATTTAAATCTTATCAATTTTATAATCATGATCGAAATAAGATACCACAGATACTAAGTTAGGTTGCAAATAAATTCACAGTTTTCAGTCAGTTTGCGAGAGTTGAACAGATTTTTGATGAATGATTAAGGCAAAAAGTTATTTCACACAACACCCTTCACAATCCGGATATTTGTAGGTGAGGTTGATAGAAATAGGAAAGATAAACTTGATAGACTTGATGAAGTTCCAGTGAACTAACTGGGTACTGAATATACCCAAATCAGAGACTTGTGCTAAGACCGTGAAAGCAGCATCCACCATGAATAATCAAGTTACTGGTTAACACAAGGAGAAAGAACCCATTTTCAGAACAATTAAGAAAGTGAAAGAAGAGGTTGAAGATGTATTTATAAAAGCAAAGAAACAAAATTTTATGGAAGCAACGAGATGAAAAGGTTAAAGGCAAAGATTATAGTCAATATGAGAAAATGTTTGTCAATAGTGTTTTGTTGTCTAAACAAATATCAATTGAATATAATCAAATGAATAATCAAAGGCGTTTATTGTGATTTTGTGCTTGTATTTTAGTCAATGAATCTAAAAGATGATCTCAATTAACATTGGCATCATTTTCAAACTTACAATAACATAAGTAAATTGAATTTGTTACAGTTGATTGTGTTTGTTAATGAAGTTTCAACATGTTATTTTCACTGCTGAACGAAAGAAACAAAATGCTGTTTATATTATCAAATGTAGTCATTTTACTTTCAACAATTAAAACAGGTAAGATATCCTAGGTTAAAAATGATTAAGATATACTAAGATATTCATTAATTGACCGAAAATTTAAACTTCAATCCATTTCTATTTCAACTGCTAAATATACGAATACAGCAAGTGCTGCAGATTTGGTGAACTTACCATTACGCATACCTAGCAAAAGCGTTAACATTAACGCTACTTTAAGTGATTCCGTAAGTTGACCAACCAAACAATTGTTACAATTTTTAATTCTTAATTCTATGCGTACTAGAATGGAGCCAACAAGTATTTCATCCAAGAATCAATATCAGCTTCTGGTAAAAACATCGCAGGCAAAATCGTGATCTCAGGTGAAAAGGATTCCTACAACGTCTATTACACTACTGCTCCTAATCTTAACAAGAACCGCTTGGTTATTTATGGTAAGAGCTTAACAATAAGAATTGAAGAAATGGAGAAATAATAAATAATTTTTTGTTACATGTTTCGATTTATGCGTAAATTGTTTTTGACTGCAATTTGTCAAAAAATAAGATTATATTACCTCATAACATTCACTGAGAAGTTATTTGAATAACAATTTATACTTTTTTCGTGATCTAAAGGTACGAATTGTTTAGTATTCACTTTCAAGAATAATTGGGATGAAACTTTACATGGAATCGGAAGACCTGTAACTAACCTGGTACTCTTAATGGGACCTTCAATTTTATATCGACTTGTTCATTCCTCAATTGTTTGGGTAAGTAACTTCAGTAAGTTATTTCAACAACATTATGAGAATGTTTAATCAAATTCATTTGTTGAACAACAGAAAGCAGTTGCTGATAAAAACATAAGAGGAACCATGATGAAAGGGGCGACAACTGAAATAAATGGAAGATTGAAAATCACTTATTATTACAAAAGTGAGTAGGAATTGATTGATCAGATTAGTTTAATGATTAGATGAACAAAAGTTTAACCAAGTTCAACCATATTCTTCTTTTCATTTGCAAAAACTAGAGCATTTTGATGATGATACTGGAATTAAACACCCAAGTCGAATTGAGTTCAGTGGTTATGATCCATATTCAACTTCATACAGTAACAATGAGAATCTTATTCTTGACATTTACCTTCAAAATGAGAACTATTATGATCAACTTGCGAATGAAGTCCAAGTAAGTACACTTCGCTAAGAACCCTAAAAAGATTAAAGTCATGATTGTTCAGTAACAAAATAAATGCATCTCTCAATCAGAATTGAATTTCGACTTTTTCTTGAAGTAAAGTAAAACGCCATTTCAAATATTGAAGAGCTAAAAGATTTTCTCATTTACACATTTGACTCTTAACCTTAGCCTTTACCTGGAATTGGATGTCCGTATTACTTGCCCACAAAGAGGCCGTCATTTCCGGGAATGAAAACTGATTATGTACATTACACTATGTACGAGTACATTAAAGGTTCAACCACTTCTCGAACATTTAGTGAGGTTAGTTTATTTAGTCAACTATTTCCAATGTTACTTTCATTTTCATTTCAATTTCAGATTCATGCATCAAGAAAGTTCTACTTATTGCGACTAAAAGCAACTCTTCTTGGTGTAACAACTGAAGCTATTTATGATTACAACCTTGGAGTCTCTTACCTCTTTGAAGAGGGTGGAGGATGCAGAACATTACCTGCAGATTCAAATTCACCTGGAATCAGTTCTTATGGTTACTTTAATTTGAAAAGTCTTTTCCTTTTTGATTCTTCTTACGAATATCTGGGAAAGATAAACTTGGTAAGTAATAAACAAAAATTTTTAATTTCGTTGATTTCATTACTCAATACATATTTTAGGGGAGTTTAATCATTTAATTTCTTTCTAATGATGAAACTTTAATAATTACTAGGGAGTGAAAGATGATAACCTAACCTTTATTATGCCAAAGATATAATACATTCACTGAACTATTAGTAGCTGCATCAATTGGAATTTTATTGTTATTATCAATTTCGGTATCAAAAAATGAACAGCTTTCAATTTACTTGCTAAGGCATTCTGTCTCTTTTACAGTAATCCCTGATCATTAATCACTTCCTAGTTTCGTCTATTCGGCAATTGGGGCAAAAGGCAAAAGTCTATTTTTTCATCTATTTCTCTTGGTTTTTAGGAGCTATTTTATGAGTTTTTAAAATCTTTTTTCTCGATTATGGAAATTTTTCATTGAATACAAAGAGATCCCAGATAATGAGATAGATTTATCAATGATTCCTAATTAAAGAGGAGTTAATTCAGCCTGGTTTGACTTAAAGGCACCATTTTTTCAAGTATCGAGCTAACAACTCAACCTTACCTAAATACGAAATTTGAAGTCAATTGAATGGACGTTTTCCAATTATGCCTTCATTAAGTGAACTCGCAAAAAATATTTCCAGCATTTTTTATATTTGTCAGTTTGCTAATATAAATTGGTTATTGGACCAAATGAAAAGTCTAGGTCTGTCTTGAGCAAAAGCAATAAGCATTTGTAATCGTTTGCAAGCATAATCAATACAATACTCGAACGTGTATCAAGACAATGTTATATACTCTTGTGACCAAATTGTGGCCAAACTGAACGTGTTCTAAGAATAAGAATTTCGCAGCATGAAAGCTCTGATTCAACTTCATCCACAAAAAAATAGGAAACCTCATCTCAGAAGTATAATAATATCTATGAGACTTACGTGAAAATAGAGACTGGGGGGAATGCAGAATCCGTATTCAATAACATTGAGTGAGGGGAAAAACTTTTTTTTGTTCAAAATAATGGTTAATTGTTGGACCAGGATTTTACAAGTGTTTTACAAGGATTTTACAATTTTTGTATGTTAAACTTTGTCTTACAAGTAAAGAGTAAAAAGTGAAGAGTTTGTTTTGAACTTTACGGTCGACCATTTTCCCGTCGAAATAGTGTTTAAGCGGAAAGGTTAATAAAAGAAATGTTACAACCAAATGATGGGTATGATTTGACAGCGACAAAAACATGTTGAGCTTTCTATGGAATCCAGGCTCGTGAGAAAATCATGTTCTATCAGGGCGGAGAAAAAAACAGAATCTGTATTCGAAAGCATTGTAAAAGAGTTTAACTCTGATAGATTTTCAAGAGACATAAGAACTGGGATTATTGTTCAATTAAAATATTTCTTTACTCGACAGTTTTGGATGAAATCGCTTTCAAAGTTCAAACTTCGATTGTATTTTTGATCTGTTTTAGACCAAGTTGCCATGATTTGATATGATGGTTTGATTTTCATAACTTAATATCTCGTTAGTAACCACGAAATTGATAATTAGATAAACCAATAAAAAATATACAGTTGACAATAACAATTCTGAAATAATTTTTTGAAATTTTCTCAGGAACATCGATCTGGATTTCCAGTAGACGCATGGGAAACAATCAGATATGATATTAATATCAATGGGAAAAAGGTCGACAAAGCTGTCATCACTCAATATTTTGTTGAATCGGTGAGTTTATCATAATTTTAATTACGTTAAACTATTTTAACATGAACTAATATTGTAACAGCAAATAAATGCAACTACAAAATAATAAGATGAAACAATAAATGTAGTGAAAATAGTGAAAATAAGGCTATTATAAGATAACTAAAACATATGATTTTCTTGTGTAACATATTTTTTCATTTCTCATTCAATTTGTGCTAAAATATTCAATCAAAATGGCTTTTAGCATGACAGTGAAATATTTTATGGCTATACTCTTGTCAGTACCACAATTGCCATCTATAAATTGGATTCATCGGTAAGTATTCATTTTAATGATTATGATTAGCAAAAGATTAATGTTTCTTTACATATTTTTGTCTTCTGCTAGAAAAAAACTTACACATTGACGGATGAAATTACAAGAGATTACATGAACTTTGAACAGGCTGGATCTGAAGATGAACTTCATGATATTTTTTCATTAAAAGATTGTAAATACTTGACCAGTGATAAAACATTAACCCTCGCCTTCAAATTACAACGTGAAGGTATGTTATAGTCAAGATTTACCGTTTGTTAAACTGGGAGCTTTTGTTATTACAATGCAGTCAATGGCGACAACATCTTTTATAGAGATTTAGTGAGATTTTAAGATTTGAACATAAAAAACTAATTATTGCTGAATTTTTTAAATAACCATGAGCACGATTTATTAGCAATCTTCCAAAATTGGTACTGACTGTAATGAAAGTCATTTAGTACAATGCAATGTATTTACAATGGAAGCCTATGTATAAATAATTGATCTCAAGTTCTTTTATCTGATAATTTTCTTTTCCACTTTCAGGTGACAATCTTTTTTCACAGAAACTCACAGAAAATCATCTTTACGAGTTGAAACAAAAGTTCATGTATTTTATTATTTCATCCGAAAAAATCAGTCCAATTCGAATCGATAACGTTGAATATAATTTCAATGACGAACAACTTGAAATAGAAGTGACATTCCTGGATTCACCTAATTTGCAATGTAATTATCATTCGACATTTGACACACACAATTTGATCATTTTTTAACTTTTTTTCAGATATTTTCAACTCTCTAACTATGTCTGTTAGTGCAGATACATTTAAAAAGATGAAAAAGATCCAAGCCAGCACTGAATTTGAATGTCTGGACAAATTATCAAAATCTCAAGATACAATCAAGTATATATCTCTGAACCTGCACGTTTTGATCCGATTGAAAACTTATAATTTTTTGTCTTTTCTCCTTTAGTGTAGTAATTTATAGACCATCAGATTTTTCTTGTGGATATTTAAAAGATTTTGATGATCTCAAGGAAGATACAAAAATTGGAGATCCATGCAGCATCTATCACTTTCCTTTACATAATTTGCATCGCATTGATCAAGAAATACCACTCGATCAAATTCACAATACTTTTTTGAAAGACGTAGGAAAACTATACCCTTTGATTAGTGAATATAATGGTAAGAACTTCTCTGCCTTTAGCTGTATTAGCCGTACCGGTGAAATATTTCTACTTTTGAGTACTAGATAAACTGTTCAAATTTTCTCAAGCAAATGGTATCAGTTTTGACTGTTCAGTCCAAAAGTGGGAATGTTTCACCTGCGCTCTAGAAGCTAGCCTTTTACTAAATTTGTTTTTTAATTTTTTCTTTAAAGTTCAATCTTATAAATTAATTGATGTTATCGATAAGACGAAAAACCAGGATAACTCGGCTGGTAACTTTCAATCCAGAATTAAAGTTGATGAGAAATTAAAAAGCAATGATCAAGTTACTGTGATTGTACCAGATGCGAAAACTTTCGCTGATTGTTATAGAACCTGCCACAATTCGGAGCAACTTGAATGCAATACTTTCTCATTCTGTTCAAATGGTGACTGTAGAGTAAGCAGCTTATTGACTGTGGACCTGTATAATACATCGCACATTGAACAAGACAAATCATGTTCTATTCACGCTTTGAATGCTATCAATGATTACCTAGAAGTACCTGCTAGGAAATTTAAAACGCAGACTTCAGTTGCAGTTGACAAAGATGCTTATTCTTGTGCAGAATATTGTCATGCTTCACTTGATTGTTTCTCCTTCCAATGGTGTGATTTTCAGTGTAGTTTTGGTGGTTTTTATACAGATGCAGCCACTGAATATGATGGAGAATGTAGTGTATATCATCGTAAGTATTCTTCAAAATGAATTACAAGTTTCTGTTTTATCTGATTAATTTCTCATTTACTACTTAACTCAGCCAAAGTATCTGAAAAGTACCAAAAGACTGGCAACAAGATCGTATCAGATGTGCTTTACACTGAAATGAATTTAAATTTCGATCAATGTGCATCATTATGTCATGGATGGTCCGATGGTGACACTGGATGTAAATCATTTAATTATTGTCCTAAAAGTAGAACAGAAAGTTCGTGTTCATTGACTCAATTTTCAGTTAAAAGTTCAAATACTAAGACTATCGAAGGAGGTGATTGTTCAAATTACGAGTTGAAAGTGGAATCAACTGGAAAGAAAAGGAAAGAATCAAGTTCAATAGCTCAAGGGACCAGTGGATCAGGTGCCTTCGGAATAATTATGCTGTTCTTGTTTGTTGGTGCTTTATTAGGATTCGCTGCACCATTTGGTTACACAAAAGTTAAACAAATGCGTAATGCTTCAACAGCCAACGAAAGTTTTACTTGGACGAGACAAGTGAATGAAGGAACTGAGAATATCAATTGAATCTCATTTTCCTATTCCAAGACATGAAAGCGCTAATCAATCGTTTTGAATATCCGTGTAAACCTTATCACTGGTTTTCATATTTGAAATTTTTTTATTCTTTTGAACTAATTTTTTTATTATGAAAACAATATTAAATTTATTAAATTTATATCTTGTACACAAAATGCAACAAAAGCTAGAAAATTATTGCAAAAATATCAAAGTTTTAACACAACATTATGCATTCATTATCTCAGCGGCTTCTGAGCAACGGTTCACAAACAGATCTCCAAATGCCAGTGAGAGGCTAATAAACTCAATGAGCTTTCATGATCTTGGTCCTTGAACAGTGAATCTCAATGTATTATATATTGACCAGATGAAGAAAATTTCATGTGCCTATGCGATAGCAATAGCTATTGCAATGGATTGAATCTTTTTTTGTCGATTTATTTGTCAGCAACTAGATTGATGCCTTTTGCACCTTATATTGAATATTAAATCTTGCGAGTGGAAATTAATATTTATCCTCTGATAAATTGAATACATTAAATATTAAGATCTTTTAATTTCATCACTTGCAATGTAATCAAACACAGGTAATAATGAATGATAAGTCCTCATAATATAGTTTTAAATTCGTATTTTCATTGTGATTTTTCATTAAACGTCAGTTAATTGTTGTAACCACACCATATTACATAGATTACTGGTATTACGGTTAGCACTAAATCAGTTATTAATAATTTACTCAATGTCACTCTTGCTTATAAAAGAAAAATTACTGATCTGTTGAATAATAAAGGAAACTAGCACGGCAAATCTCAGCCAGGAATGACGAAACCAGACAATGGTTGAAATTAGTTCGATTTTCATCATTTGATTTCTTGTTGCCAGTGCATGGAATTATGCAGCTTAGGCAATAAAGCGTTAGAAAAGAAACATGGCTTGAAGTATTGAACTTATGTCAGGTATCACGATGATCAACTTTTTCTGGTTTGGATAATTATTGATCCATGGTCCAACGAAGAGGGTTGTCACTATGGCTGGTAGACTGCTCAATACGGATCAACAACTAGAAATTTTTGAAGCTTCTTAAAGAACTGAGATTTTACCATCACAAAGATATTAAAATTTAATTCATTTTAAATAAATTTAATTAAAATAAAATTATAGCTGGAAGAAACAAACGAAAGTTGAATACAGTTTTTCAAATCTAAAAAGCAGTAATAAGGTTTACACAGATATTTAAAGAATTGCTTAGCATTTCTTGGGATATGAAAATGAGATTCAATTGATGTTCTCAGCTTGTTCATTCACTTGTCTTGTCCAAGTAAAACTTTCGTTGACATCTGTAGCTATACGTAATTGTTTAACTTTTGTGTAACCAAATGGTGCAGCGAATCCCAATAAAGCACCGACAAACAAGAAGAGCATAATTATTCCAAAGGCCCCTGATCCACTTGTCCCTTTCGTTAAATCAGTCGAACTGGATTCTTTGCTTTTCTTTCCATTTGAATCCACTTTCAACTCGTAATTTGAACAATCACCTCCTTCGATAGTCTTAGTATTTGAATTTTTAACTGAAAATTGAGTTAATGAACAAGAACTTTCTGTTTTACTTTTAGGGCAATAATTAAATGATTTACATCTAGTGTCACCATCGGACCATCCATGACATAATGATGCACATTGATCGAAATTTAAATTCATTTCAGTGTAAAGCACATCTGATACGATTTCGTTTCCAGTCTTTTGGTATTTTTCAGATACTTTGGCTAAGTTAAATTATGGATAAGAAATTGATTAGACAAAACAGAAACTTGTAATTCATTTCTAAGGATACTTACGAAGATATACACTGCATTCTCCATCATATTCAGTAGCTGCATCTGTATAAAAACCACCAAAACTACATTGATAATCACACCATTGGAATGAATAACAATCAGGTGAAGCATGACAATATTCTGCACAGGAATCGACACTTTTGTCGACTGCGATTGATGTCGGAGTTTTAAATTTTCTCTGAGGTACTTCTAAGTAATCATTGAGAGCATTCACAGCGTGAATAGAACATGATTTGTCTTGTTCAACCTGCGAATCATTATACAGGTCTATAGTTAATAAGCTACTGACTCTACATTCACCATTCTGACAGAATGAGAAAGTATTGCATTTGAGTTGCTCTGAATTATGACAGGTTCGATAACAATCAGCTAAAGTTTTCGCATCTGGTACAATAACTGTCACTTGACCATTGCTATTCAACTTTGAATCAACTCTAACTTGGGATTGAAAGTCATCAACTGAAGTAATTTTGTTTTCCGTTTTGTCGATAATATCAACAATTTTGATAGATTGATCTTCAAAGAAAAAGTTTAAAAAAGAAATATTTAGTTATAATTAGAGTTTTTACGCTTATGTGAAATTAAAGTTAAATATTTCCACTATCTAACCACCCAGAAGAATTGAAAAGCATTCTGATTCAATTGAGAAAATGTTTCAATCTATAATAATTGTGTTAACTTGTGAAATAATGATATTCATCAGATATCTGTTTTGCTCCTCAAATTTCACAACCAGATGACATTTATTATGACTCTAATTATAAAGTTGAGATTGTTAATTGGTATTATAATTGGAACTTTTTGACTGTTTTAAGCACACAAAAGTGGAAATATTTCAGTATAAGTCAAAGGCTGAGAAGTACTTACAAGAGTTTCCTACATGATAAGAGACACCCCATCCTAAGTTTTCCTTAAAATTATCGTGAATTTGATCGAGTGATAATTCTAGGTCAATGCTACGCAAATTAAATAAAGGAAAGTGAAAGATACTACATGATACTCCAGCTTTTGCATCTTCCTTGAGATCTTCAAAATCTTTCAAATATCCACAAGAAGAATCTGATGGTCTGTAAATTGCCACACTAAAGGAGAAAGAACGAACGAATTATTAGTTTGATTGAATCAAAATGGATGGATTCCGAGATATATACTTGATATTATCAAAGACTTTTGCTAATTTGTTCAAACATCCATACGCATCGCTTGTCTTGCCTTCATATATCATCTTACTAAATGTATCTGCACTGACAGACATAGTTTTAGAGTTAAAAATATCTGGAAAAGAAAAAAAAAGTTAAAAAATGATCAAATTGTGTGTGTCAAATGTCGAATGATAATTACATTGCAAATTAGGTGAATCCAAAAATGTCACTTCTATTTCAAGTTGTTCGTCATTGAAATTATATTGAACGTTATCGATTCGAAGTGGACTAATTGATGAGCGTAAAATAACATAATTGACTAAATCTTTTTTCAAGTCGTAAGCATGTTTTTCCAAGAGTCCGGTACAAGAGTCGCCTGCAAATGAAAAGAAAAATTGTATACAAAATGTTCAAAAATCTATTTATCTATGGAGAATTTTTTATCTACAGTGAATACGCAAAAGATTATCAATACTTTGGCTTATTCTATGCACAACGCTATGTACTAACTAAAGATTTCATTGAATTATAATAAAAAGCTATAGTTACCGGCAATCAAATTGCCATAACACAAGCTCGAAGCTCTATTTTACCAAATGTTATCAATACATACCTTTGCATTCAAATTGGAAGGCAAGTGTTAATGTTTTGTCACTAGACAAGTATTTACAGTCTTTTAATGTAAATTCATCATGAAGTTCATCTTCTAATCCAGCCTTTTCAAAGTTGATATAATCTCTTGTAATTTCATCCGTCAAAGTATAGGTTTTTTTCTAGCAAAAGACAAAATATGTAAAGAAACATTAATCTTATCTGCATCATAATCATTTAAATGAATAATTACCGATGAATCCAATTTATAGATGGCAATTTTGGTACTGACAAGCGTATAGCCAGAAAATATTTCACTGTCCTCCTAAAAGCCATTTTGATTGAGTATTTTAACACAAATTGAATGAGAAATGAAAAATTAAGTTACACAAGAAAATCATATGTTTAAGTTATGTTATCTTATAATAGCCTTATTTTCACTATTTCACTACATTTATTGTTTTGGTAAGAGTAAGGTTTTACGGACTAAGGAGGGGCAACATGGGACATTTAAATTGAGATTCAACCAGGTTAATCTTTTAAAATTAAATCTAAGGTTAATCTTAGGTATAATCATGATTGAACTAATTGTTAATTACTAATATTACAGCAAATCCATGAATACTGAAAGAGGAGATGAGAAAATTCTGGTTAATCATTAATTTCAGATAAAAAACATTCATTATTAATTTTACCATTGGTTAGCGAAAGTGTGTGATTTTTAAGTCCCGCCTTAGTCCGTAAAACCTTACTCTTACCATTGTTTTATCTTATTATTTTGTAATTATTATTAGAATATTATTTGTTTATTTTAGTAAAGTTTAACTTGATTAAAACTATTCGAAACTTACCGATGCAGCGAAATATTGAGTGATGACAGCTTTGTCGACCTTCTTCCCATTGATATTAACATTGGGTCTGATTGATTCCCATGCATCTACGGGATATCCAGGTCGGTGTTCCTAAGAAAATATACAAAATAATTTCAGAACTATTATTGTTAACCTTAGTCCAACTATCATACAAGACGATTGCTGAATCAAAATTTTTGTTCCAACAGTAGTCTCTCTCTTTAAACAATTTACTGCTATTAAAAAGAGATTGTGCGAGCTATACCTAACAGCGTGAAAAAATTTTATGTTTCAAATGGTTTTGGCATTGAAATTGATAAATGCCGATAAAATTCAGATTGATATTCAATTTTTTAGCTAAGGGTACAGTTGATATTTACATGTTTATATTGAAGGCTTCATTGATATTTACACTCGTATCAACTGATTTTTTATCTTACTAAATTGTTTAATTCAAAGTAAATGAGACCACTCTCCAATTGATTAATAATGAAATAGTAGACGGAAAATTAAATCATAAAACTCCCCTAAAATCAATATATTATCAATAAAATCCATCAATAAAGATACAAAATGTGTCATATTTTTGTTGATTACTCACTAAATTGAGTTTTCCAAGATAACGATAAGGAAAAAAGATGTCATCAACGATTAAAAGGCTATTTAAATAGAAGCCACCAAATTGATTGATTCCAGGTGAATTTGTATCTGCAAATAATATGCTACAGGATCCACCCTCTTCGAAGAGGTAAGAAACTCCAAGGTTATAATCATAAATAGCTTCAGTTGTTACGCCAAGAAGATTTGATTTTAGTCTTAATAAGTGGTGCTTTTCCGAGGCATGAATCTGAAAATGAAATGAAAGTGAATGTAACATTGGAAACATGCTCGGCCAATTAAACTAACCTCACTGAATGTTCGAGTAGTAGTTGAACCTTTAATGTACTCGTACATGGTATAATGTACATAATCAGATTTCAATTTAGGGATTGAAGGCCCATTTTTGAACAAGTAATGTGGGCATCCAATTCCAGGTAGAGGCTGGTGAAAATAAAGAGACATGAAAATCTTGAAAATCTTACGAGCAATGCAAAGGCGATTGTTAAATAATACAAAATAACTTAAAGAAAAGGAAAAATTCTTGAATGCTTCAACTTGATCTCACAAAATATTTTATCAAAAAATTGTTATATTTTTTGCCTGAATGCATGTGATTGTGAGGCACTTCTGCAATTCAAAAATAATTAATGTGAATAATGAAACAAAGTGAAATACTTACATGAACTTCATTCGCAAGTTGATCATAATAGTTCTCATTTTGAAGGTAAATATCAAGAATAAGATACTCGTCGTAAATTGGTGATCTTGAATATGGATCATTACCACTAAATTCAATTCGACTTGGATGTTTAATTCCATAATCGTCATCAAAATGCTCTATGAAAATGAAAAGGAAGAGAATGGTTGAGCTTGGTTCATCTAACCAATTCAACTAATCTGTTCGATTGATTCTTACTCACTTTTGTAATAATAAGTGATTCTGAATCTTCCATTTATGTCAGTTGTCGCCCCCTTCATCATGGTTCCTCTTATGTTTTTATCTGCAACTGATGTCTGTTGTTCGACGAATGAATTTGATTAAATATTCTCATGATGTTGTTATCATATTACTTACCCATACAAGTGAGGAATGACCAAGTCGGTATAAAATTGAAGGTCCCATCAAGAGTATCAGGTTAGTTACAGGTCTTTTGATTCCAGGTAAACTTTGATCCCAATTGTTCTTGAAAGTAAATGGTAAACAATTTGTGCCTTTAGATAAAAAAGTAAGAATTGTTATTAAGATGATCCCTTTAGAGAATGTCCTGAGCGAATGTAATCTTATTTCTCGGCAAATTGCAACTAGTAAACAATTCTCTCAAGAATAGAATCATGTTTCAGAATAATTATTCATCACTTTTCGTATTGCATCAATTCTTAAACCATGTTGCCAAAAGTGGCCCCAAGACTTGTTAAACTCTTACCATGGAAAACCAAACGTTCCTTGTTGAAACTAGAATCAGTATTATAATAGATGTTGTAGGAACCCTTTTCACTTGAGATCACAATTTTGCCCCTAATGGTTGAGCCAGAAGCTGACACTGACTCTTGGATGAAATATTTAGTCCCAGCATTCTATGACACAAAGTATTAAGAGTTAGAAAAGTCACAATTGGTAGGTTATTCAACTTACGGCATCAGTTAAAGTAGCGTTAATGTTAACGCTTTTTCTTCCTGTGCTTAATGGTAAATCCACCAAATCTATAGCACTTCCTATGTTTGTTATTATTAATAGTTGAATTAGAAGTTGATTAAGTTTATATTACAGTCAATTAATGAATACCTTTTTCTTACCTGTTTCAATTGTTGAAAGTAAAATGACTAGAATTGATAATTTAAACAGCATTCTGAATCTTTCATTCAGAAGTGAAGATGACATGGTGAGAATTAATTAACAAACACAATCAACTGAAACGATTTCAATTTACTTATGTTACTGTAAATTGGAAATGGGTAATGTTTATTGAATAAACTTTTAATTCATTAAATATCTTTTCAAAATAACAATAAACGCCTAAGATTATTTGTTTGATTATTTTTTAATCAATTCATATTTGATACAACAAATAATGATACAGATTGTTTATTGTGACTCTAACCTCATATTTACTAATATTAATACAAACATTACATGATGATTGACATTAAAAATATTTGATTTCTAGATTTTATGTGATTACACTTTTGATTAGTTTTAAACTTTAACAAGGTTATTCTCGATCACTCGAGTACATAACAATCAACCGTTTATGGATAATGGTCTTGTCGATGGACTCAGTTTTGATGTCCCTACAAACCCAGTAAGTCTCAACTCTCAACTCAAATGTTGGAGCCTTTGGCAGTAGTTTTTTCAAGTTTAACCAGAAAATTGGTTTGTTTACCAAAATATGGGTTAAGATGAGTTTTGTTTGTTGAATCAGTTGTTGCTCGTTCATTTACAAACCAAACATCATAATTCAAATGTACTAATGGAAAATTATTGAACCACATTGAATTATTAATTAGTAAAGAATTAAATTCATGAAAGAATGATGGATGTAGATGATGCCATTCTCGAAAGACGCAAAGTTTTAAGACCGATGGCCAAATTAAAGAGAACGGTTGTTGAATTGAAAAAATTATTCATTATCCATAATGTGTACCGACAAATTTTATCGACAAACATCAAGTTTCAGCTTTCTAACTCTTACGGTCACAGAATACGGTCGTTTTGACTCAAAATCGAACTTAACTGTTTTACAGAACAATAAAAATTCTGTTTCTCAAAGTAAATAACTTTTCTGGCTGATCATCAAAAGTTACATCACAAAATGGAAGTTCATGAAAAAATTTGGTCGCACAGTTCTACAAAAAGCGATCGAAGTTTAAATTTTGACCTCAATTTTCTCGAAAATTAGTTATCAAAGGGATTTTAAAATCGCACAAAGTGATTCAGTTTTCATGTGCTCATAAACTAACAGAGTCTCAATTTTTGCTGATTTGTGTCAAGTTTGCATAAATGACAATTGTGTTAATTAATTGCGTCTTTTTAGTAACAACCTTGAAAACCGTATCTTATCATTTTACATCCTTCACAGTTTAAGTACAAAAATTAAACACTTGTAATAAATCAAAATGTTATAAAAATATCAATAAATATGAGGTTAGCTTCGCAATAAACAATTTGAGGAATTATTTGTTGTGTCAATATGATTCGATAAAAAGTAATCGAACGAATGATCTTAGGCGTTAATTGTTATTTTGAAATGTTATTCAATTAATTCAAAAGATGGTTTCAATCTACATTCTCACTATTTTCAAACGTAAAATATCAAAATTGAATTGAAATTGTTACAGTTGATAAAATTAACAAACAAAATAAAAATTACAAATTGTCCTTCTAAAAAGAAGTGATAAGGTTTACAAGGATACTCTATGGACAATTTCAGGCTATGAACTCAAAATGCGGTTCCGTTGATATTTCCAGCTTGTGCATCTAATGCTTCTGAAGCATTAAACATTTGTTTAACTTTTGCATAACCAATTGGTGCAACAGATCCAAATAAAGCACCAACAAACAAGAACAACATGATTATTCCAAAGGCCCCTGATCCACTTGTTCCTTGAGCTGTTGAGTTTGATTCCTTCCTTTTCCTTCCATATGATTCTTTACTTTCAACTCGTAATTTGAGCAAACTCCTCCTTCAGAGGTTTGAGTGTTTAAATTTTTAACTGAAAATTGAGCGCATGAACACGAACTTTCTGTTTTACTTTTAGGACAATAATTAAATGATTTACATCCAGTTACACCATCGGACCATCCATGACATAATGATGCACATTGTTCGAAATTTAAATTCATTTCAGTGTAAAGCACATCTGATACGATTTTGTTGCTCGTTTTCTGGTATTTTTCAGATACTTTGGCTAATTGAAATAATTAAAAAGAAATAAATAAACAATAATTAGATAATACAGAAAATCGTCACGGTATCGTGATCATTGCCTTCTGAACAACAGAAAGCAGCTGAAGGTAAAAACATAAGAGGAACCATGATGAAGGCTGCAACAACTGAAATAAATAGAAGATTGAAAATCACTTTATTACAAAAGTGAGTAGCAATACAATGAATAAATTGAATGATTAGATGAACCAGGCTTAACCATTCTCATCCTTTTCATTTGCAAAAACTAGAGCATTACGATGACGATTCTGGAATTACACATCCAAGTCGAATTGAATTCAGTCGTTATAATTCATATTCAACTGCATACAGTTACAAAAAGAATCTATGAATCGCGATCTATCGCGAATGAAGTTAATGTAAGTATTACACTTTGCTTTTATTTATTATACATAAATGATCTTTAATTTACAGTGATTTATCACAAACACAATATTATGAAAGCCATCGAGCATTTGTTTAACTTTTGTGTAACCAAATGGTGCAGCGAATCCCAATAAAGCACCGACAAACAAGAAGAGCATGATTATTCCAAAGGCACCTGATCCACTTGTTCCTTTCGTTGCCTCAGTCGAACTGGATTCTTTGATCTTCTTTCCATTTGATTCCACTTTCAACTCGTAATTTGAACAAACTCCTCCTTCAGTCGTATTAGTATTTGAACTTTTAACTGAAAATTGAGTTAACGAACATGAACTTTCTGTTTTACTTTTAGGACAATAATTAAATGATTTACATCCAGTGTCACCATCGGACCATCCATGACATAATGATGCACATTGTTCGAAATTTAAATTCATTTCAGTGTAAAGCACATCTGATACGATTTTGTTGCCAGTCTTTTGGTACTTTTCAGATACTTTGGCTAATTTAATTAATGAAAAAGAAATAGAAGTAATTGAACAATATACAGACAAAACATATGAATACTTACGAAAAAATACACTGCATTCACCATCATATTCAGTAGCTGCATCTGTATAAAAACTACCAAAACTACATTGATAATCACACCATTGGAAGGAGAAACAATCAGGTGAAGCATGACAAGATTCTGCACATGAATAAATACTTTTGTCGACTGCGATTGAAGTTTGAGTTTTAAATTTCCTGTGAGGTACTTCTAAGTAATCATTGATAACATTCAAGGCGTAAATAGAACATGATTTGTCTTGTTCAACGTGCGATTCATTAAACGAGTCTTCAGTTAATAAGCTGCTGACTCTACAGTCACCATTTGAACAGAATGAGAAAGTATTGCATATGAGTTGCTCTGAATTATGACAGGTTCGATAACAATCAGCCAAAGTTTTTACATCTGGTACAGTCACAGTAACTTGATCTTTGCCATTTAATTTTGCAGCAGATCTTATTTTGGATTGAAAGTCATCAACTAAAGTAATTTTATTTTCCGTCCTATCGATAATATCAACCATTTTAATAGATTGAGCTTAAAAGAAAAAGTTTAAAAAAGAAATGTTCAATAATATTCAGTCTTTACGTTTATGTGAAATAGAAGTAAAATATTTCCACTTTCTAACCGTCGATTAGAATTGAAAAATAGTATCTTTTAATTGAGAAAATGGATGAATTTATAATAATTTGGTTAACTTGTGAAATAATGATATTGTTCAAATAGTGATTGTACTACTCAAATTTCACAAGCAAGTTATAAGCACCCAAAAGTGGAAATATTTCAGCATAGTTAGAGTCTGGTAAGTACTCACAAGAAGAATAATCGAGACCCCATCCTAAATCTTTCATAAACTTATTGTGGAGTTGATCAAGCGGTGTTTCTTGGTCAATGCGTTGCAAATTATTTAAAGGAAAGTGATAGATGCTGCATGGTTCTCCGGCTTTTGTATCTTCCTTAAGATCATCAAAATCTTTCAAATATCCGCAAGAAGAATCTGATGGCCTATAAATTACTACACTGAATTATAAAAGAAGAAAAAATTATTAGTTTCCAGTTGAATCGAAATGTGCAGGTTTCGAGATACATACCTGATTTTTTCTTGGTATTTTGATAATTTGTCCAGACATTCATTTTCCGTGTCAGCTTTGATCTTTTGCATCTTTTTAAATGTATCTGCACTAACAGATATATTTTTAGAATCCAAAACAGCTGAAAAAAGGTTTAAGAATTGAATTAAATTGTATGAATGAAAACTTCAATAATAATTAGTAATTATTAATTACATTGGAAATTGGGTTTATCCAGGAATGTCACTTCTATTTCAAGATGTACGCCATTGATATTATATTGAACGTTATCGATTCGAAGTATACTGATAAATTTGGTGAAAATAATGTAATGCATGAAGCTTTGTTTCAAGTAGTAAACACGACTTTCCATGAGTTCGGTACAAGAGTCACCTGCAAATGAAAAGGAAAATGATCAGTTACAAATACTTAAGAGCAATTACATTGTTAATACATTATAAATTGTGCTACATGGTTTTCAATTTGAATTTGAATTTTGGCATTCAAGAGATTATTAATATTATAAGCCATATACACATTTATTAAAAAATCATGAATTTTTATCTACAGTGAATGAGCTAAAGAGATTATCCAATCTGTGACTATTCTATCCACAACGCAATGCAATAACTAAAGACTTCTCTCAATTATAATCGAAATATAAAGTAACCGGCAATCGAATTGCCATAACACAAGCTCAAAGCTCATTCTTACCAAATGTTACCAATACATACCTTTGCATTCAAATTGGAAGGCAAGTGTTAATGTTTTATCACTAGACAAGTCTTTACAGTCTTTTAATGTAAATTCATCATGTAGTTCCTCTTCTAATCCAACCTTTTCAAAGTTGATGTAATCTCTTGTAATTTCCCCGATCAAAGTACCGGTACTTGTTTTTTTCTAGCAAAGGACCAAAATAAAGAAACATTAATATTTTGCGAACCATAACCATAACCATTTAAATGAATACTTACTGATGTCTGCAATTTATAGATGGCAATTTTGGTACTGACAAGCGTGTAGCCAGGAAATATTTCACTGCCATGCTACAAGCCATTTGATTTAATATTTTAGCACAAATTGGGTGAGAAATGAAAAATTAAGTTGCACAAGAGAATCATATGTTTGACAATGAGTGATAATAACCTTATCTTATAATAACCTTATTTTCACTATTTTCACTGCATTTACTTTCTTTTTATTATTATTTTGCAATTACTCCATTATCAGTTTATATCTGTATAGTTCAAGGTAATTAAAATTATGAAAAACTTACCGATTCAGTAAAATATTGAGTAATGACAGCTTTGTCGACCTTTTCCCCATTGATATTAACATCAAATCTGATTGATTCCCACGCGTATACGGGAAATCCAGATCGATGTTCCTAAGTAAATATACAAAATAATTTCACAATAGTTATTGTTAGCTTTAAAAACCTGAGTCCTGTAACTATTATCCAAAACTATTGTTACATTCAATAATTAATGGCAGCAGGAATCTCATTCAAATACTAGTATAACTGCATCAAGGAAACTATTCGTGTGCATCGATTTATTCCTAGAGCTATACATAACAGTCAAAAAAATTTTGTGTACATTTATGTTAGAAATGGCAAGATGGAATTCAATCAACTTGAAACAAACTACTATTTATATTTTGAAAATAGTATCTAAAAAACATGAGATTGACTTGAAAATAGACGAAACTATTAGAGAGTGATTACTGTAAATGAGACAAAAAATTTCCTTATGACGGTCCAACTGAACTGTTCATGTTAATGTTTTTGATATTGATATTGATAAATCGCATTAAAACTCAAAATATTCACTTTTTAACTACTGATACATAATGAATGTTTCATTAATATTTACATTGGTACAAACTGATTCTTTATCTTACTAAATTGACTAATTGATAGTAGATGACACCACTCTCCAATTAATTAATAAAGAAATAAAAGGCGGTAAATTTAATCATTAAACTCACTTAAAATCAAATATTTCAATAAAATTCGATCATTTAAAAAATGTGTCATATTTTTTGGCAAAAACTTACTAAATTGAGTCTTCCAAGATAACGAAAATGAAAAGAGATGTCATCAACGAGCAAAAAATTGTCCAAATAGAAGTAACCATTAGAATTGATTCCAGGTGAATTTTTACCAGTAGGAAACATGCTACAGGATCCACCCTCTTCGAAGAGGTAAGAAACTTGAATTTTATAATCATAAATAGCTTCAGTTGTTACAACAAGAAGAGTTGATTTTATTCGTAATAATTTGTGTGCTTCTGATGCATGGATCTGAAAAGGAAATGAAAATGAATGCTAAACTGGAAATAGTTGACCAAACAAACTAACTTCACTGAATGTTCGAGTAATAGTTGAACCTTTTATGTACTCATACATAGTGTAATGTACATAATCAGCTTTCAATTCAGGGATTGAAGGCCCTTTCGTGGACAATAAAAGTGGGCATCCAATTCCAGGTAAAGGCTAATCAACAGTCAATGAAAATGAAACAGAAACATGAAAATCTTACGAGTAATGTAAACGCGTTTATTGGATTGCCAAGATTGTTAAATAATGCAAAACAACTTAGAGAAAAGGAAAAAATTAAATACTGATTTAGTGATATTGAAATCTTAATTGCTTAGAACTTGATCCCACAAAATATTTTGTCATCATATGATATTTGATCATGTCGTGACGCTCTGAGGCGAATTAATAATGTGAATAATGAAGCAAAGTGTAATACTTACATTAACTTCATTCGCAAGTGCATAATAAGGTATGGGCCCTAAAGTTTGTCAGTATAGTGGTACATATTTATTTGATTTAACAAAGTATTTAAGTTAAAATTTAGTGAAAAAATAGTCAGAGCTGCTAAACAAGGTCCACTATCAATAATTATCTCCAAAAAATAAAGAATTTTCAATTAAATACTTGTTAAATTTAAATAAATATGGGTCATTATACTGACAAACTTTAGGGCCCATACCTTAATAGTTCTCACTTTGAAGGTAAATGTCAAGAATTAGATTCTCGTTGTGGCTAATTGAAGTTGAATATGGATCGTAACCACTGAATTCAATTCGACTTGGATGTTTAATTCCAGAACCGTCATCAAAATGTTCTATGCAAATGAAAAGGATGACAATGGTTAAGATTGGTTCATCTAACATCCTTAATTCATTGTAAGAAATTAATTTCTACTCACTTTTGTAATAATAAGTGATTTTCAATCTTCCATTTATGTCAGTTGTTACACCCTTCATCATGGTTCCTCTTATGTTTTTATCAGCAGCTGATGTCTGTTGTTCAACAAATTAATTTGATTGTTCATTCTCATCATGTTGTTGAAATACACTGTTGTTGTACTTACCCAAACAATTGAGGAATGAACAAGTCGATATAAAATTGAAGGTCCCATTAAGAGTACCAGATTCATTACAGGTTTGTCGATTCCAGGTAAAGTTTGGTTCCAATTGCTTTTGAAAGTAAATGGTAAACAATTTGTACCTTTAAATCATTAAATACGTAAGAATTACTAATTAATATTATGATAATTTTACAGCGAGTGTCATGAGTGAATATTATCTTATTTCTTGGCAAATTTCAGGCAGCAAACAATTTCTCACGAACCCAATCACATGACAGAAAATTATTTATTAATTTCATCATTTCTCATCGTTAAACTCTTACCATGAATAATCAAGCGGTCCTTGTTATAATCAGTATTATAATAGATGTTGTAGGAATCCTTTTCACCTGAGATCACAACTCTACCTTTTATGGATGCACCAGAAGATATCGATTCTTGGATGAAACATTTAGTGCCAGCATTCTATGACGCAAAGCATTAAGTGTTAAAATAGTGACAATTGGTTGGTTGTTCAACTTACGATATCAGTTAAAGTAGCGTTAATGTTAACGCTTCTGCTAGGTATGCTTAATGGTAAGTTAACCAAATCTATAGCACTTCCTATATTCATTAGAAGTAGAATTGGATTGAGACAAAATTCGCAGGAAACTAATGAATATCTTCTTCTTACCTGTTTTAATTGTTGAAAGTAAGATGACTGCAGTTGATAATATAAACATTTTGTATCTTTCGTTTTGAAGTGAAGATGACATGTTGAGACTTAATTAACAATAACAATCAACTGAAATTTTCAATTTACTTTTGATATTGTACGTTTGAAATTGTGAAAATGCTTATTGAAATAATTTCCAAATAAGATTATATAATAACTAAAGTAACGCCTGAGATTATTTCATTACTTTTATCATATTTGATACAATAAATAATGATACAGATTGTTCATTGCTACTCTAACCCCATATTCAATATTATAATAAAGGGTGTCAGGGTTTATTTCTAACGAAATTATCTGAAGATGAAGATGAGAATTGTGATAATATGACGATAAAGATGAATCGGTCACTTGTATTTGCTCGTGCATTTTGATAACCTTTAATTTGTGATTTCATCTTTATCTTCAGATAATTTGTCCCAAATGAACCGCAACTCCCTTTAGCATTACAAAAATTACATTTCGATTGGTATTAAAAATATTTAATTCTCGTACTTAAATTGTAACGAATGTATAATAAAATGAAAAGATACGTTTTTAAGTTTATATCACTAGAGTTGTCTATATATGTATTGTTTATTATATTATTTTGTAATCGAGTTTACCTTTTACTGGTTTTACTTTTTCATTATCAATGATTTTCAACTCGATAATCTACATGTAAGTTCTGTCCACATGTAATCTACATCTTATGTTTCATGAAATTCAGCGATTAACAGTACGCGAGGTTCCTTCGACAGACCCTGGAGTACCATACAAAGCATGACAAGCATTCAATCACATAAAACCATACAGATTGAGCTCTTCGTTTCTTCGCCTCTGAAACTCATGGTGACGGAAATCCTAGTTCAGGATTATGTCAACAATCTCTGCAATTTTAGGCGTTTTAATTTCTAGATTTTATGAGATACGCTCTCGATTAATTATTCAATTAACTTTGAACAAGGTTATTCGTCATCGCTCGATTAACTAACAATTAACCGTTAATGGTGCCAAAATTTAATTGAAGTTTCGATCATCAAATGAGTGCTCTAGGATTATCGGACACGCTTTTTGCTTATGAGAACGGTTTGATCAGTCTATTAACCGAAATCAAATCAAAACTGTGTAATTGATGGTTTATTGCGCTTACATCATGAACTAATACATTGATTTTTTGCATGCGGTAATTATACACTACTAAACCCATTTTATTTGTTTGAACTATTTACATCTTTATTTATTTCATTTGATCTTACTTTGATTAGATGTAATCTATTGTACACTAGTAGTCACAGTTAAGTTAATTTTTAAGTGTCGTCGTCTCGAGCTTGAACCGTTTTAAGAAACACTACACAATAGAAATCTATGAAAAATTAAGTTTGATCATAAAGGTACTTTTCTTTCTTGTTAGATGGCGACTATGAAATCTGTGTGATCACTGATTTGATCAATTATCACTATGAAGTGGGACATTGAAGACCTTCGTTAATGACCAATCACTGAATAGAGCAATTGTTGAACTGATCACGGATATTAAACTAAAAGTGCCTCCAATCTCATAGCGCTCAACAATTTTACCCAAAAGATTGTTTGTTACAGCAGATATAAGCTGATTAGAGTATAAATGCAACCAGTTACAGTTGATAACAAAGGCTTGAGTTGTTAATCAAATTCCTCGTATTACCATTTCACCAGCATGAGAAATACAGGCAAGTATACCAAGTGAAACATCTGACATGACAAGAAGTTGAATGAATATTGGATATACAAAATAGAAGTGAAAAAGGCATAAGAATGGTGAATTGAAAGACAATAAAAGCTTGAACTAAATTTTTACATCATTCTTATGAGAAAATGTTAGGGATTTCATTATACATTCGATTCATTTGAATTATCAATTAGTAATTCTTTTGGCGATGATATCTTACCACCTTTGCTTAATAATTTCGATCTCTAGATAGCATTGAAACTAAAAACTGAATCTTTTTAATTTAATGGTTAATTGAACTAACGAGAACAGAGTCATTGTGGCAAAATCCTTTGAAATAAATTCAATTGATAGCGATATATTTTTTTCTTATTGGGCTGTAATATGTGTAAATGAAAACATGGCCTGATAGAGGACAAGTATGGTTAATATTTGGTATAGACCGGACTCGATTCGGGCATAAATAAGACTGAATTCAAAGAAAAGGTCAGAATATCTAGTCGGATCATAGCTGGTTATGTAACTCACAATGTTCATCATCTGAATACAATGGATTATGATAAGCCTATGACAATCAAACAAAGGCAATGCTATTAAATCTCTGACTCCCAATGAATTATCGGATTAAAGTTAATCGTTTGTAATCAGCCGTATGTTTTGGTGAGAAAATTCATGCACTTAAAGATTCACTAAATAACTACAAGAAAAGTTGTCAATTTCTGAAGGAAAATATTGAAGTAAGACAGTTGGAAACAGATTTTCTAGAAGTTACATTGCCAACAATACACTGTATATCATCAGAATACTTATTACTGATAATACTACGAGATGTTCAGTCCTTTCCGTTTTACATTGATGTCTAAATGTTGGTTGCCTGTTAATGCGACTCGCTAAAAATTATATGATTCAATTTGTTCATTAGTTGAAGATTTATTTGTTTATTTATCTTTCATGTATTTTAGATGCAATAGACTTTATTCGTTTTTATCGTCATTCCATATTTAAGAATCAGTTACATTTTTATTTTTTTCATTTGCTTTTGTATCGAACAAATTTGATCTTTTGTATTTAATCCACAAAAATACTGAAATTTGAATTGTAAGCACAGCTGAAAAAAGATGAAAACAAAAACCAGGATAACTGTGAAGGGTAGCATTAAAGATCTTCGTTAATGACCAATCACTGAATAGAGCAATAATTGCACTAATTACAGAAATCAAGCTTAGCGTGCCACCAATTTCATCGCGCTCAACAATTTTACCCAAAAGAGCGTTTGCCACAGGATCGATTAGTGTGAAGACACAGCCAGTTACAGTAGACAAGAAAAATCCTTCAGTTTTTAAAAAGCTACCTTGGATAATCAGAGCAACGAAATGAGAAACCAAGGCAAAGATTCCAAGTGAAATATCTGACATCCCAAGAAGCTGAATAAATATTCGAGGTCCAAAAAGCTGCATAAAAGCTGGAATCGAATCATTAATTGCACTGTATTTTGAGTATTCATAATTTGACCATCCATATGCACGTTGTGCAAATTGATAAATGTTACTTCTTGTGAATGATGACTCTACACTTCGAGCAATCGAAATGCCAACCAAAAGTAAAAGTACTCCACGCTTCCCTGATTCTCGAGGTTTAGTTAGTGTTTGAAATAACTTGCGAATAGCCGAGAATGAAAATACTTTTGAAACAAACTCTTTAACTGGACTCTTCTTTTCCTCTTCAGACTTGTGTCTCTTGAAAGGTTGTCCATGATTAACATGATCCGGATCCTTAGCTGCTTGTTTCTCATTCAATTTGTAAACTGAAGGTGCTGTTATAATGAAGATGACTACAGCAGATATTTTGAATATCAATGAGACAATAAAGACTCCGAGATAGTTAGAGACTTGGTTCTTGAACCAAGGTTTTTGTGCGAAAATGGCTCCACCAGTATATTGACCAGCAACCAAACCTAATTCATTGCAAATTTAAAGCTTGAATCAAATCAAAATTGTAAATATTCGTGTAAACTCACCAATAAAAGTAGCGACTTCACACATTGAAAGTTTAATGACTCGTTTATCTGGTGGAGTTGTTAAGACAATGTAAGTTTGAATAGCCATGAAACAAATCTTGACAGTACCAAAAATCCATGGAATCAAGTCAGTGATTAAAACTATTTTGGGATCTAAAGGTTAAAATGAACATTTTAATAATGATCAAGCTTTAAACTGGTTTACTAACCCAATGAAAAAAAGATGGCATTTCCAGTGAGAAACATGACTTGAAGTATTGAACTTATGGCAGGTATTATGATTATTAGCTTTAAATGGTTTGGATAATTGTTGATCCATGGGCCAACAAAGAGGGTTGTCACTATTGCTGGTAAACCGCTCAGTATTGATCGATAACTAGAAATGGTTGAAGCTTCTCTAAGAACTGCGATCTTGGCATCTGAATGTTCATCAGCACAATCGGCCAATCTAAAGCCATACTGGTTGAGACAAATTTTGTCTTCAATCATTTGAGTTACAACAGTTAATTGCATCGACGAACCGAAAACGAAAATCAAATAGAAGCACTCCAAATAAGAACCTTTAATTATTTCAATCAACTTATTAATTTTACCCATTTTAAATGTAAACCTTTCAGTTAAAACTTAAAGTCGCAATTATTTATAGTATTGACAATTAGTTACACTGATAGAAAGTATTTATTCAATTGTAGCCTATTAACAATTGGAAACTTATTTATGGAGAAATCGCTATTTATCATCATTTATGTTTATCAGAATTCAATCCAATTCTTAAGGTTATCTAGAATCATTACTATGGAATCTGTTAATGCTCATTAATGCATCTAATAATCCAGCTGCACTGAGAATCTTACAATCAAAATTTTTCATATTAACTTTTTTTGCTTTTCTCTGTCACAAATCCCAGTACAAGAAAATTCAACTCTTGAAGGAAACTAAGTTTCAATGCAAAGATAAATTGGCTTTACTATTGATAGATACTGGGTGCATCGACGACATATGTAAACTTTTGAAAGTCGATTTTTCTGCGATCAAATCAAAGGGCATAATATTTGAAACTACTGATTGTAGTCAAGATCGTTTTGGCTTCTCTGTTTCAAATCTAACGGTTAACCTTTGCTCCTTATGTGTTCATTTATACCAGTGTCTTCAGAGGTTCATAAACTGACCTCCAAATGCCAGTACGAGGCCAAAAAACACAATAGGCTTTCATGATCTTGACCCTGGAACAGTGAAGCTCACTGTTTATTGACTAAAAACTTGTAAGTAGTTTAGAAAGTTACATTTCTTGGAATCTACTGACCAGATGAAGAAAATTTCATTTGACTATGCGATAGCAATAGCTATTGCAATAGATTCAATCTTTTTATGTCGATCAATCAGCGATTAGATTGATTCCCTTTGAATCAATCTATTGAATATGAAATCATTTGAATGAAATTTAATAATTGTCCTCGGATAAATTGAATAAATATTAAGGTCTTTCATTTCGCTACTTTCAATGTAATCAAACATAAATAATGTTTATCGATAATAATTCGTTAAATTCGTATTTTAATTGTAGTTTTTGTGTTAAAAGCCATCAATCAATTGCTGTAATCACATCTGTGATACTGCTTAAGCAATCAAGCATTCAAGATAGAAACATGGCTTATCGTAATGAACCATGACATGTATTACAATGATCAACTTTGTATGGTTTGGACCAATGTGCAACGAAGAGAGTTGTCACTATGGCTGGTAAACCACTCAGTATTGATCGATAACTAGAAATGGTTGAAGCTTCTCTAAGAACTGCGATATTGGCATCTAAATGTTCATCAGTACAAAAGATATAAATTTAATAAATTTTTAATTGCTTTCATAATTGAGATAAAATTAACAAACAAAACAAAAAATCAAAATTGACCTTCTAAAAAGCAGTGATAAGGTTTACACGGAGATTCTATGTTTAATTTCAGGTCCTGCAATCTCAAAATGAGGTTCCATCGATATTTCCAGCTTGTGCATCTGATTGTCTCGTCCAAGTGAAACTTTCATTGGCTTCTGAAGCACTACGCATTTGTTTAACTTTTGTGTAACCAAATGGTGCAGCGAATCCCAATAAACCACCAACAAACAAGAACAGCATAATTATTCCAAAGGCACCCGATCCACTTGTTCCATTCGTTACTTCAAGCGAACTGGATTCTTTGCTTTTCTTTCCATTTGATTTCACTTTCAACTCGTAATTTGAACAATCGCCACCTTCAGTGGTTTTAGTATTTGTACTTTTAACTGTAAATTGAGTTAATGAACAAGAACTTTCTGTTTTACTTTTAGGACAGTAATTAAATGATTTACATCCAGTGTCACCATCTGACCATCCATGACACAACGAGGCACATTGTTCGAAATTTAAATTCATTTCAGTGTAAAGCACATCTGAGACGATTTTGTTGCCCGTTTTTTGGTACTTTTCAGATACTTTGGCTAAGTTAAGTAATAAATGAGAAATTAATCAGATAAAACAGAAACTTGTAATTCATTTTGAAGAATACTCACGAAGATATACACTGCATTCTCCATCATATTCAGTGGCTGCATCTGTATAAAAACCACCAAAACTACATTGAAAGTCACACCATTGGAAGGAGAAACAATCAGGTGAAGCATGACAAGATTCTGCACATGAATCAACACTTTTGGCGACGGCGATTGAAGTCTGTGTTTTGAATTTCCTAAAAGGTACTTCTGAGTAATCATTGAGAACATTCAAAGCGTGAATAGAGCATGATTTGTCTTGTTCAACGTGCGATTCATTAAACGAGTCATCAGTCAATAAGCTGCTGACTCTACAGTCACCATTAGAACAGAATGAGAAAGTATTGCATTTAAGTTGCTCTGAATTATGACATGTTCGATAACAGTCGGCCAAAGTTTTCGCATCTGGTACAATAACTGTAACTCGATCATTGCTTTTTAGTTTTGCATAAACTCTAATGTTGGATTGAAAGGCATCAACTGAAGCAATTTTATGTTCCGTTTTGTCGATAATATCATTAATTTCAATAGACTGCCCTACAAAGAAAAAGTTTAAAAAAGAAATTTTTAGTTATATTTAGAGTATTTAAGTTTATGTGAAATGAAAATAAAATATTTCCACTTGCTGACCACGCAACAGAATCGATAACTAGTACTATTTAATTGAGAAAATAATGATGTGTTTTAGCTAGCGGTTGCACTCCTCAAATTTCATAATCAGATGACTTTTCACGAAATCAGTACTTGTACTGTTGACTTTGTCAAATGGTACTGTAATTGGGATTTTCAACTGTTTAATTAAAAAGTTATAACCATTTAAAAGTGGAAATATTTCAGTATTTTTAGAGGCTGGGAAGTACTTACAAGATTTTCCTACAATATAATTCATACTCAATTTTAAATCTTTGTTAAAAGTATTGTGAATTTGATCAAGTGGCAATTCTTGGCCAATGCGAGCAAAATTATTTAAAGGAAAGTGATAGATGCTGCAAGGTTCTCCGGCTTTTGTATCTTCCTTAAGATCATCAAAATCTTTCAAATATCCACAAGAAGAATCTGATGATTTATAAATTACTACACTGAATTATGCAAAAAGAAATATTAGTTTCCAGTTTAATCAAAATGTGTAGGTTTCGAGATACATACCTGATTTTTTCTTGGTATTTTGATAATTTGTCCAGACATTCATTTTCCGTGTCAGCTTTGATCTTTTGCGACTTTCTTAATGTATCTGCACTGACAGACACCGTTTTAGGATTTAAAACATCTGGAAAAGAAACAAAGTTCAACAATTGTATAAATGTAAAATGTTGGGTGATAATTACATTGGAAATTAGGTTTATCCAAGAATGTCACTTCTACTTCAAGATGTGCGCCATTGAAATTATATTCAACGGTATCGATTCGAAGTGGACTAATTGCCAAATTTAAAATAGCATCATTGATTAAATCTTTTTTTACTTCGTAAGCATGTTTTTCCAAGAGTCCGGTACAAGAGTCGCCTGCAAATGAAAAGGAAAAATATAAGTTACAAATGCTTAAGAGCAATTACCAGGTACATTGTTATTTTATCAACCGTTCCTAGTACATACCTTGACATTCAAATTGGAAGGCAAGGGTTAATGTTTTATTACTAGACAAGTATTTACAATCTTTTAATGTAAATTCATCATGGAGTTCACCTTCTAATCCCTCCTTTTCAAAGTTTATGTAATCTCTTGTAATTTCATCCGTCAAAGTATAAGTTTTTTTCTAGAAAAGGACAAAAATATGCAAAGAAAAATTAATATTTCGCAGATAATAATCATTTAAATAAAAACTTACCGATGAATCCAATTTATAGATGGCAATTGTGGTACTGACAAGTGTAAAGCCAGAAAATATTTCACTGTCATGCTAAAAGCCATTTTGATTGAATATTCCAGCACAAATTGAATAGGAAATAAAAATTAAGTTACACAAGAAAATCATATGTTGAAGTTATGTTCTTATATCTTAGAATAGCCTTATTTTCACTATTTTCACTACATTGCATTTGTTTATCTTATTACTACAGTTTTCCCCAGAGTTTTTTGCTTTTTTGTTACACTGCCATCTAGGTGAACTACAAGGGGAAACCACGAATTTTACAGTTTAAACAATTAAAAAACTTAATGACTTCCCCTATAGGGAGAGGACTCCTCAAAGGGAGCAA